AAAGAAACTCATAAAGGTCGTTGCTCATAATCACAGTTTTAAGTCTATTCATTAATTTTTTTTAACATTTTGGATGAAAATTATAATTCGCTAATATTTGTAACCAATATAAAGATTTAATTTGAACAAAATTTAGTTTAACAAATGCAATCTTCTTTATATCATTTTAATCAAATCTCTCGTTTAGAAATAAATAGATTCTTAGTAATCAGTACCAAAAAACTTTGAACGTTGTGGGATCGTTAATGACTCTCTTCGGTCGCACTAATAATATCAAAACAAGAATTGTCGTTGTTTTTGTTTTACTGTTTCTAATTGTCTGTTTGTTTTCTGTTCTGTTTCTTGTTTATGGCTCTCCCTCATCGGATCTGTTTGTTTTTTAATTTATCTCTATTATTGATCATATATTTTATTAATAAATATTTAACACGTGTACTTTTTTTTTATTTATTACATTTAGTTATTATATTGAGTTACACATGAAGTTCAGTTTTACCTTCAGTTAAAAAATGGGTCTTGTTTCTTTTACATCTTTATTATTCAATAAGTCAAGAGTTAACTTTTTATATTATTAGGAGACAAACGAGAAAGAGGGCACAGATTCGCTGAAATAGCAAAACCTTACCAAAATCATCATCAGCACGCTATACGTCTTCACAGAAGGGCTTGAAGCGTACCCTAAGTTAAAAGTGATTTGGTCATAGTCAACCACGATGGCTCAGAGCGGGTTGACTTCGCACATATCTTTGAATATCTTCTCAGATATGTGCAGCATCACGATGTTTTCCTTCACCGTAATTGACGGAGGACGCACAGACAGAGAAAATTTCCTCTTCTTATGCATTCCTTTTTCCTATATTTTACTGTATGCCATTTTTGAATCAAAAAAAATCTTTGAGTATTGACAACTAGCTATTACCCGCGACTCATTCGCTTGGAATTAAAACAAAACTTAATTAGTCTATGTGTTCTTCCAGACTATGTTCTATATGTATGTCAAATTTCATCAAGATCCGTTCAGCTGTTCTGGAGATACCTTCTAACAAACATGCAAACATTCGCATCTATATATTTAAAAGAAAGTCGTGTTACACTATTTATAACTCAAGAACGGCTTTACCGACATAGCTGAAAATTAACTTAGAAACGTAGAAACTTAGAGCCAGGTGACGGACATAGAATTTTTTTCGAATTTATGCCTTGAAGAGCTGCTTTTTATTTAACTTACTAATATTATAAATGCGAATGTTTAGATGGATGTAATGTGGATGGATGGGTGTTTGAAGATATTTCTAGAACAGCAGAAAGGATCTCGATTAAATTTTTCATACATATAGAACATAGTCTGAAAGAACACATAGGCTATACTAATTAAGTTTTCTTTATATATTCACGCGGACGGAGTTGGGCGACAGCTACTTTATAATATTAGTAAGATAGTTTCTTGGACTAATGGGCGACTATAAGGATAAACACACTTTAATTGTAACATTGTCTGTTCAAAGAAAAAGTTAATAAGAACATAAAGCAATCAAGGGAAGTGTTCACTAACTGATCAGTTTAACTTTAACATCAAAGATCTTACTTGTATTGATCGCGTTAAACAAATTACTCTGATATTTTAGTTAGTACATGACTAGTATGACCATAAGACACTTTATTTCATGATAGTCCCGGACAAAAATCCTGCTATAAGACACATTTCCATGACTTTTTCATAAATGATGACTGTTTTTTTATCTTTCTAATATTATAAATGGATGGATGGATGTTAGAAGGTATATCCAGAACGGCTGCATGAATCTCGCTGAAATGTGACACAGATGTAGAACATAGTCTGGGAGAACGCATAGACTATTAAGTTTTTTTTTTATTTTGCCCGAGGTATTTTATCATAAGGTGGCTAATAAGCAAACGACCACCCAAATTTGCTGAAATAGCGAAGCGAACTCTCCATAGACATCTACAATTGCAGATGCGTTGCCTACCTTTAAACGTCCCCTTCCTTTGTCAAATCTCCTTACCCTTCCCATCCTTTATTTATAACAAAAGGGCGGGAAGAGAAAGGGGTTTAAAAGGCTTTCGAAATAAACACTTATTTTACTTACGAGATTACTTCCACTTGACGTATTCGTCGGTCAAGGCGTATTCGTGCACCCAACAAATACTCTAGTTCCCCTTTATAGATTGATCTGAAATTTGTTACATATTTTCTATTTTTAATGACAAATCATTTTTGAACTAATTTCATTCCTTGATCGAATTTCAATATGCACATATTCTCAATATTAACTTGAACTGTGTCAAATTTCACGTTCATTCGATAACGATATTTCTCTAAAGAGATAGAAACTTTTCATATCGGGTATGAATTAATTTTTAATTATATTTTCCGGAATGTCCTACTGAATGTTTTAAGAATGGTGTCTGTACAAGTCGCGAGCCATCCTCACCACATGGCCCCGCGTCTGGTAATAACGGAAACGTGCGATAAACTCACCGAATTAGATATACAACCTGCGCACGGACAGAAATAGATTGTTTTTATTTAATGCATTTCATCCTCATTTTACGTAAAAATCTGACAATATTTTAAATATTCGACACTAGTTGACCTGCGACTCCGTCCAAGCGGAATTAAAAAACAACTTAACAAGTAGCCTATATGTTCTTCCAGACTATGTTCTACAGCTATGTCCGTACAGCCGTTCTGCAGATAACTTCACACAAACATCCATCCATCTAAACATTCGCATTTATATTGTAAGATTTAACAGTGGTAGAGCCTGCTAGAGTGGCGGCCACGGATAGGACGATGGTCGATGGACCGATGACCTGGTCAAGGTTGCAGGAGCGTCCTGGATGCAGGTAGCACAGGACCGGTCATCGTGGCGATCTTTGGGGGAGGCCTATGCCCAGCAATGGGCGACTTATGGCTGAGGAAGAAGAAGAGCCCACTTTAACATCGCAAGAATTGTCCCGGCTCGACCGGTGAAATACCACGACCACAGGACACGACAAAGACAGGTGTGAAGTTGAAGCAATTCAACGTTTCGTCTGATGAGTGTGCGTCCCGGAGGCCTAATTTAGTCATCTTTCTCTTCCCACTCTTCTTATAAGTAAAGGATGGGAATTGGAAGTGGATTTTCCAGATAAGATGCATGGGAAGTGAAAATATTCTCTTTCTGTGCCTCTCCGTCGTTTAAAGATAGGCAATACATGCAATTGCGTATGTCTATGGGCAATCGCTTCGCTATTTCAGCAATTTCTGGTAGCCGCTCGCTCGTTTGCCACCTTATGTTATATAGAAAAACATATTTGATTTCAGTTAGTATCCTACTAAAGGAATATGGTTAGAAATTGACATAAAATAATAAATTTATCACGTTCCCTTATTGTAATATTAAATTCATCATAAAACCTCTTTATAGCGTCTGCCATTTTTAATTTTTTTTTAATGTTCATTTCGTTATTACACCTTGAATGATTCATGCGATATCCGAAGCGTTAGCCAGTTATCTATCTTCTACATATATAAAAGAAAGTTGTTAGTTACACTATTTATAACTCAAGAACGGCTTTACCGATATGACAATATTGTTGAGGAGGTAGCTTAGAGCCAGGAGATGGACATAGGATACTATTTATTCATTTTTTTTTCGAATTTATGCCTTGAAGAGCTGCTTTTTATTTAACTTAATAAATATTATAAATGCGAATGTTTAGATGGATGTGATGTGGATGGATGGATGGATGTTTGAAGATATCTATAGAACGGCTGAACGGATCTCGATTAAATTTGGCATACGTATTGAACATAGTCTGAAAGAACACATAGGCTACTTAAGTTTTTTTTTATATCCACGCGGACGAAGTCGCGGGCGACAGCTAGATAAATATAATTTTAAATTGTGTTTGTCTTTTTTAGGTGAATCAAGTTTTAAGTAATCCAAGAATTAAAACTCTTTGGTCTATTTAAATATAATTAGCAAAAAGGGATTTAAACGTGAAAATATTTGCAAATTAAATGTCTTCCATCTTTATAATAAAACACAGTTTTACGCTTTAATATTTATTTACATAAATAATACTTAATTTATATTTAAAATGTTATAGTATTTGTTTGTTTGTAATTAAATAACATATAGCCTTAATAAATCTAACAGGAATATAAAAAATTTCGTCATATTGCGGCAAAATATGAAACTAATTTCCTTGCGGACTATAAAATGTTGTTAGAATCTGATTTAAGCATTACCAGACTAAGATTTTTATTTTCTTCATCATCAGCTCACTATACGTCCCCACTGAGGAGCTCGGAGACTACCCTAATTTAAGTGGTTAGGCCATAGTCGACCACGCTGGCCAAGTGCGGTTTGACTTCACACATATAATTGAATTTCTTCTCAGATATCAGCAACACGATGTTTTCCTTCACCGTAACAACTTATTTTAACTTTATTTTCTTATTTAGGTAATATTAAACATCCGATAAACATTATTCTTTTAAATAAAAATAGATTTCTTTGGTTATAATAATTGTTAAATGTCAAAGTATCAAAATTGGCGCCATCTTTTCTTCTTTTTAACGTGACATTTGACGTTTGACGTTTGGTTACATTTTTAATTAAAAACTGCCATAAAAATATTAGATTGAGTATTAAGTGGAAGAGATTTTATCTATTTTTAATTACACAAAGTACTTAACGTAATTACAAGATCAAACATGTGCAAGATATCTAAAAGTGTTGCCATATTGACAATTTATTTTTATGACACTTTTTTTTTAATTTAATATAGATAGCATGTCTACTTTTCGATTCGATCATTAAAATTGATTTAAATGTATTTAAACGTTAAAGTAGACTAGATTTTTATTTATTACAATAATCTTACTAATATAAATGCGAATGTTTAGATTGATGTTTGAAGATATCTCCAGAACTACTGCATGGATTTCGTTGAAATTTGTCATACATATAGAAGATAATCTGGCAGAACAAATAGGCTACTTATTAAGTTTGTTTTTAATACCGCGCGGCAACTTCGGCGACAGCTAGTAAGTTATAAATCTATGGTCTTCGGTTATACGTAGTATAACATACTTTTTGGTATTAAAACTTCATATCCGTTTCTCTTTGGAATAGTGGTTACTTCCCTCCGTACCCAGAGATGGTGACTTAGGTGGCGCCCATAAATTACGTGAGGTGGTTTCTTTTTAATTTTCTGCCCCTCCCTTCCACCCTGGTGAGATGTGAGAATTTATCCATCTCCCAATCTCAAGTGAGATTTTTCAAAATGTAACTTTCTTACGTATTATACGATTAAATGGACCAAAATAGTTTTTTTTTCAATCAGAAAAATAATTGCGTGATATTTGACTCGACCCCCTCCCCTTAAACACCTCACGTAATTTATCGACGCCCCCTTACCGTTGTTTTACATATACTACAGATATTTTATTTTAAGCTGAGATTTTGGTTTTAGAAACCCACAATAAAAGATTTCCTTAGTGTAAATTTCATAGATATCTCTAATTATTACTGTGAGGCAGTTAAGTATTATTATTTTCACAAATTAAACTAATTGTCCGATAAATCGAGAATATTTAAGTCTGTAGATTCTGTTCGCTTTTTAATTCCAATGCCCAGACGTGCTGTGGCCAGCCAGTTCTACCTTTCGCCTTTTTCTCTACCAATGCACTGTTCTGTAACAAAAAATATTTATTAAAAAGTTATGAAACTGTAATTAATATGCAAATATATAAATTTATACGTATAAATACATAATATAACGGTACATACACCAAAATATAAATTTTTGCTATTTTTGTCTGTCTGTTTGTTCCGGCTAATCTGTGAAATCATCAGCTCACTATATGTACCCACTGGGGGCTCGGAACCTACCCCAAGTTAAGGGTGATTAGGCCATAGTCAACCACGCTGGACAAGTGCGGGTTGACTTCACACATATCTTTGAATTTCTCAGATATGTGCAGGTTGCATTACGATGTTTTCCTTCACCGTAAGAACGTCGGATCTCTGAAATGGCTCGACTAATTTCTGACGGGACTTTTATTGGCTTTAGCTGATAAGGATTAATTCAGGCTACGTTTATTTATGAAAAATTCTTTTATTTAAAAAAAAAATGTTGCAATGTCCAAGTACTACACAATACCGAGTGCAGCTTATAGACAGTATTCCACGCGGACGGAGTCACGGGCACAGCTAAGTGAATCATAAAATATAAACAAATTAATCGATTCGATTACTATTTAAAAATCGATTCATCAATATTGTTTATTAGTCGAGCGTTAAAATAGACATTTAAAAATGGAACGCTCAATAAACACGAATGATCTGTTACAAATAGAACTGGTGGGAATGAAAACAATTAACAAAAAAAAACTTTTTTTTTTCATCATTCGAGTAACAGTCGGCGCATTGATTGCCAGCACGTGTATTCAAGTGGCTGAACGGAGCTTCAGCTTTTGCCTTTGACAAAAAATTGGGCGGGCAAAAAACTTGCTCCTGTCTGATCGTAAAATTGACAGCCCGCTTTTTAGTTAGTTTTTACTCGACGGAAATACATAGGTGTTTTACGATACTGTGATACAAAGCCCATAGAAAAACTGCGAATTTTACCCTTTCCATCTTTTTCTTATAAGGAATGAATACTTAGGGAAAATATTATTTTTCTGAGCGTACTCTCCTCCGTTGTTTAAAGGTAGGCAACGCATCTGCAATTTCAGATATCTAATTAAATTGGTCGCTTGTTCGATCGCCATCGTATCGTATTACAAAAAAAAAGAAATTGTCTCTGGTTACTTAATTTCCAAATCAGAATGAGGTACAAAAATCTATACATGGATAGGTTATTGCTTAGAAATGACAGTTTTTTCTTTGTTCCGACATGAAAATACCTCAACCGCACGAAACTCAAATAGTCACAAAATACCAAACGTTATATCCTGTTCACAAATGGTTTATAGGTCAGTCTACCTGATGTGTTTTGTTTACAAGTTGCTCGTGCTGGCTGGATAACATCAGATCTGTTTATAACAAAATAATTTACGACTACATGCCACAGTTTTTTTAATGTTTTACAGGAAATTTCCTGTTGAAACTGTTTTGTTTTTTGTTATAAATATATAAACAAGTGATACATGTATGGTACGTTTGTCTCACTTATAAGAAAAATAATATTTTTCGCGGACATGACCGTTATTTTTTACTTCTAAAAACAATGTATGTAATGCACATTCTATTTTTAAAAAACTCAAGAGTGTTGGCATACCATTTAAATTATAAGTATGTAGTACTGGTTAGTTTAAGAAAAAAAAATGGCAAAAAGCGAAAAAAAATTACAAAACTGATTGTCGATAGTTCAATCCTTATGACACATGTCAATTAAGTACGATATTACTTGTAATATAAAATAAACTCGATAGTACACAGGCGTGACGTGTTAAATAATTAAAAAAGTAAAAAGAAATAACACTGGCTGAAAACAACACATCCTTTACCTAAGGTAATCAAATTAAAAAAAACTTTCGAGAAATAAATTCCAAACACGAGTATATGTATTTTATTTCCCGCCATTACTTAGTTAATAACTCAATAAATACGCGCTAATCTTGTACAGACGCACGGCTAATGTAATCGCGAACGCCACATGGCCCCACCGGAATGTTCCAGATCAGGGATCGTGAACATTTTTTTTTATAATTCACTTAACGAAATAAAGAATTTTCTTAGTAATAAATTTCTATAGTAAACTAGCTGTCGCCCGCGATTCCGTCCGCGTGGAATTTAAAAAAAAAACTAAATTCGTTCCCTAGACCTCCACGAACATTTCAAGACCGAGATAAATCCGTTCAGATGATCTCTAGTTTTAGCGAGACTAACGAATAGCAATTTATTTTTCTATATATTATATAAATTAAACTCACCGATAATCTTTAATAACCAAAGATTATCGCTAACAAAATTATTGACTTTATTTGATATGTCCCAATGACTTCGCCCGCCAAGAATTAAGAAAAAATCTAGTAATAAATATAGTCTATGTCACTTTGAGATAGTGTAGCATCATAACAGTGAAAGTATTTCTTTAATCTGTTCAGTAGTTTCTGAGTCTATTCAATTTTACCAAGATAACAATCAAATCTCTATCATTACTATGGATAGATTTATATTAAAATCTAGCTAACGCTCGTGACTCCGACCGTGAGAAATTAAAAAAAAATTAGTAGTCTATGTGTTCTTCCAGACCATATATGTATGCCAAATTTCACATACGTCTATGTATGCGTTTTCGTGATACCTTCTAACAAACATACATCTAAACATTCGCATTTATAATATTAGTAAGATTAGTTAACTACTAATTAAGCAACATCAAATTGATTTGATTTTTTTTTATTTGCACTTTAATATTACTAACCATAAATAAATGAACACAAGACCAAATGTTTGCAATCACCGTCTTTGATACTCTGACGTACGAAACGAAAGCAGTTCTATATGATATGAAATTGGATGAAAATTACGAATGAACAACGATTAGAACTTTTCGAACTTTCACAATAAATAGTTAATCTAACATTGGGTTTTTTACTGCTTATTTTTTTTATATCATAAGGTGGCAAACAAGCGAGCGGCCACCTGACATCGCTGAAATAGCGAAGTGACCGTTGCCCATAGACATACGCAATTGCATATACCTACCTTTAATCGACGGAGGAGAGGATCCACAGAAATAAAATATTTTCCCTTTCCATGCATCCTCTCATCCGGAAAGTACACTTCCACTTCCCATCCTATCCTTATAAGAAAAGGAGTGGGAAGGGGAAGAGGACTAAATTAGGCCTCCAGGACGCGTCATCAGACGAAACTCAGAATTGCTTCCACTTCACGCCTGTCTTCTGTGTGGTCGTGGTATTTCACCGGGCGAGCCGGACCGATTCGTGCGAAGATGTGAAAGTTTCGCTACCACTGTTTCGAATTTCTTCTCAGATATGTGCAGCATCACGATGTTTTCCTTCACCGTAAGAACGTCGGATAAATGTACATATGTAAATCGGAAATGTAAAACACATTAGTACATGGCGGGATTCGAACCCAGGACCTGCAGATTGCAAGTCAAGTGTTTGACCGCTGAGCCACCGACGCTCCAGTTTAATTTAAGATATTCTTATAACCGTAGCTACATTGAATGAGTGGGCATCCATTAGTTCACAGGGGAAATATTCCTTATCTGAACTGCATATTAAACTGGCGCCGGCTGCATCTCAAGTGTGTACATTTGTATGTCTTTTCACTAAACCGTCGCCCGCGACTCCGTCTGCGCGGAATTAAAAACATAACATAATTAGTAGTTGTGTTCTTCCAGACTATGTTCTATATGTATGCCAAATTTCATCAAGATCTATGCAGCCGTTCTGGAGATATCTTCTAACAAACATCTAAACATTCGCATTTATAATATTACTAGCTGTCGCCCGCGACTCCGTCCGCGCGGGATTAAAAATAAATGTTGGCCGATTCTCAGACCTACTCAATATGCTCACAAAATTTCATGAGAATCGGTCAAGCTGTTTCGGAGGAGTATGGGAACGAAAATTGTGACACAAGAATTTTATATCTAAGATTAACATTTATATCTGACGTAAAGAGTTACGTCATAAGAGATGTAACCCTTTTCGTTTTATAGATACGTTGGATGCGTAATAACAAATTTATTAAATGTATGTTGTATTACTTCAGTTTACTAATATTATAAATGCGAATGTTTAGATGTATGTAGAAGGTATCTCTAGAACAGATATATAAATCTGGAAGAGCACATAGACTACTAAGTTATTTTATATTCCGCGCAGATGAAGTCGCGGGCGCGCTAGTGTATACTATATATAGCTACAATTATTGAACACGTCAACAATCTCGGGGCTTACGTAACATAACTGTAACCTATAAGGGTAGGCAGAGACCACAGACCTTTATTTGGCGTGACCAAACTAACACAGAATATTTTATACCTTTTGCCGTAATTCACCCATATCTTTGAATTTCTCAGATATGTGCAGCATCACGATGTTTTCCTTCACCGTAACAACATAAGATAAATGTACATATGTAAAAACAGTGGGATTCGAAATCAAGGCCTGCTTTACAAGTCAAGTGCTTAACCCTTGAGTCACTGGCACTGATTTAGATGTTTCCAATCAAAGGAATATAGTCTTTATTACCTGTGCATTAGGATCAGTAGTTCTTCTCCTCGGTGGTGTATGGTGCAACTCCGCACGGAATCCCCCAGCTGGTTCTCCATCGGTCTCCAATACTTTTAGTAAATACGATATGTATGAAGTCGCAAGACGTAATGTTTTTATCTGTTGGCAAATATTATAATCTTGATTCTTACTTATAAATGCGAATGTTTAGATCAGTCTTTCCCAAAGTGTGCGATAACGCCCCTTTGTGGGCGCTGCAGCTCAGTTGCGGGTTATAGTAAAAGTTTCGTTTAGAATTCTCCGTTAATATACATATATAGGTCACAGTAATTAATTAATTTAATTTGAAGTTATAGTGGTTTTTAAATATGTGAAAATATGGGGGCGTTAAAAAAATATTTAATCTCAAAGTGGGCAATAGACAAAATAAGTTTGGGAACCACTGGTTTAGATGGAAGGTGTCTCTATAGGCAGAACGGATCTCGATGAAATTTGTCATACATATAGAACATAATCTGGAAAAATTGATAGGCTACTAATTATGTTTTTAATACCACGCGGACGGAGCCGCGGGGGACAGCTAGCTAGATTTAAATTGAAACTTGGTGTGTTTATCTTTTTTTCAGCTCTATGCTTGTGCTATGGTTAAACCATTAGGCTATTGGCTCTCAGAACATATATCTATACATATTAATATAATTGCAGTGTCTATATGTCTGTATGTCTGCAAGCTTGTGTATGTTCCGTGTTCTCGGAAACGTGTTGACAGATTTTGACGTGACTTTAACTGGAAGGCAGATGATGTACACGAGAATGTTATAGGTTCTTTTTTTAATTCTACTAAAGTACAGGACGACTGTTGTAAATGACTGATGGCAGTAAGCTAGTAAGTAAAATACGTATGGACCGGACTGACTGTAATAACCCCAATGAAATTAATATCACCTTACACTTTGAAAACTTTATTTATATTTTTGTAACAAATCAACGTAAGAAAAAGGTAATATTATTTTAAATAGATAAATTATTAAAAGAAAATACGACAATATTCCTATTGTTAAAATATAGAATAGAGAGAAAAAGACGCGACAAAACATAACGAAATCTTTGTCATAGATTGGATTGGAAACAGAGACGTCATAAAGATGTGACATATCCAAAATTCTATCATAGAGTAGAAAATAGAAGCGTCAATATGTTTTAGGGTGTCACTGACCTTGGTCATCTTTGTATCGGGTAGTACGCTTGGTATACGGTCCCTGAGGTTTGAGAACGCAGTGTTGATGCTCTGCGATCTCTTTCGCACCATCTGGTACAAGTACAAGTTGAAATGAGACAGCATATATTATAAAAAGTACGTATTTAAACACGTTTATTATAAGATTGAATAAGTAATAACGACTACAAAACGTAAAAAAAAGCGTCTAAAATTAAAATAAAATAATTTAAGAAATACTTTCACTAGTCATTTGCGCTCTTTCTTCGGATATAAAAAAAAACATAAGCTTACTTTTGCCTGCAACTTCGTCTGTGTCATATTAATAAAAGATGTTCCGTTCCGGACTTATACTACATTAATTAAGTTTTAATTACAGTTTTCATGAGAACCGTACATACTTCCGGAATTATAAGTTCTATGTGTTCTTTCGGACTATGTTCTACATCTATACCAAATTACATTTATACCCAAACATCTATCCAAACAGCGCATTTATAATATTAGTAAGAAGTAAGATAATTGCATATTTATCAAAGCCTATAAATTTAATTTTAGCCATAACAAAAGCGATAATAGTACGTTATAGATAATCGCAGACTTAATCCCTAATTGATCTTTTATTAAAGAACGTACTTATTAACTTTAAAGGAAGAATTCTATGCAAAATATATGATCAAAGGTCTGCAATAATATCGTGATATAAAGTCGATGACGCAAATATGTAACCTACAGCAGTGGTTCCCAAACTTATTTTGTCTATTGCCCACTTTGAGAGTAAATATTTTTTTAGCGCCCACATATTAGAGTTTAAGCAATGTTTTAATTCATTTTAGTTGATGTTCACAAGTTGAGAATAGAGAGCTCATGCAGTCGTTGTCTAAGAGGCCTCCTAGCTAAATAAAATTACATATCACCCCCCAGGCCTCTACACAATGCCCTTATTTTCTTTCTAGGTTTCTGACCGCCCCCCTTGAGACCTGCAGCGCCCACAAGGGAGCGTTATCGCCCACTTTGGGAAAGACTGACCTACAGGATTGAACAATGCGAATTTACGTTTGTGACTTATTATCGCTAAAATGACTTGACCGATTTCAAAGTGTGAGGTGTCAATCGATTGGTATTATATCCAAGAGTGTCATAGAATTACAGTCAGACCGATTTATTAGTCTAGTAATTAACTAAAGCTAGTTGTCTAACTTACCTTGGATAGTTTCGTATCAGGCGGTACATTTGGTATGCATTCTCTTAGATCGGTGAATGCGGTGTTGATACTTTGAGTTCTTCTTCTCTCTTTCTTATTTGCTGTTGTTCTTCTTTTAACAACTCTTACGAAAGAAGAGGGAGTCGGTCGTTCGTAGCGGAGAGGTAGAGATTGCATCTCGCAATCCAGACCTGAGGATAAATTGTATTTAAGAAAGATTTTCTTGCAAATGGGTACATTTAAATGTGGAAATACTTATAAAATATTGTCATCACTCTCTTACTCTTTAAAAAAAGAGACAGCAACATATTTTTGTGCAGGTTCTTCGTCACTGGAAATTGATGGTTCGCATTGTCTTTTGTTTTTTTATCGTATCATGAAAGGAATTTCATAACCAATAGTAAGATTTGACAGTTCCTGTCCGTTAAGATGACGTCATAATATGACGTAACAAGCTCATAGTTATAGCACTCACCAGGATTATTGGGTGCGAAGCCGTGATGCATAACATTATGGTGATAAGTATCGTATGGCTCGTTCCCTGCTATCTGCATATCCTCGTAACCTGTTAAGTAGAAAACGATAAGCTAATCTTTGACCTGTTCAAGTTGAAATTCTTTTAATCTATGACAATTTGTTTTAGACCAAAGAGTAAACAGATAACAGGCAGGACTAAACTTACTGTATCCTCTGCCGATGTAATTATTAGTGTCATGGTAAACATCCTGGGTGTCATACTCGTGGTTCTCTCCGTTGGAGTTAGCCCAGTATACGGCGCCGTCCATTGGACTACCTAAATAAACAGAATTATATCATTACACAAATCTTAACTAGTTAATTTAAATGAAGAGAGAAAGACTTTTCTGTCTCTTTCGTTACATTCTTTTTATAAAAACAGACTGAACAATATTTTTGCACAGGTGTTTAACTTTAATTTCGCGTAATCAGACTTCTGTTACATTTTGTACTATATTCCTTCGACTTATGTACGTTCAACTTTATTTTTCGACATTGTACGTCACCGTCTTCTCTAAACCGCAGGGGTCCTAAAACTCCTTTGGTCTCAATGACGTAGTACATACTTATAGACATTATTAGTTAGAAACCTTTGGCACAAGCGCGCTTTCGTTACAAAGTCAAGTGTCAGAATGATTAGTGAGGGGACATAAACGTCGACATTTTAGTTAGGCTAGTGTTGCGCCAGTACACCGACATAATGTCGGATTTTCTTCCTAACAATACCTTGATGTGTTGGTTGACAGTAGAAAGGTGGTTCGTATCTATCAAAGCCTTCGTCTGATGGTGACATGCTGCCGTAACTCGACATTGGACCTGGTGAAATAGGCTGGTTATTTACACAAATAAGCTTAGAATAGTAAAATATAATTTGGTAGGCAACGCATATGCAATTGCGTATGTCTATGGGCAACGGTCACTTCGCTATTTCGCTCGTTTGCCACCTTATGATATAAAAAAAAGATTGTTGCTGAGAAATTTAATAATAATAGGACAATTGCAATTACAACTTACTAACTTTCGCTCGCGACTCTATCCACGCTTAACTAGAGAAAACTTTATAAGTAGTCAATGTGTTCTTCCAGACTATGTTCTACGTCTGTGTCACATTTCAGCTAGATTCATGCAACCTTTCCGGAGATATCTTCTAACAAACAAACATCTAAACATTCGCATTTATAATATTAGTAACAATTTTATTGTATTTTGCATTTTTTAAATCTAATTTTCAGATATCAAATTAAAAATAATAAAAATTAATATTTTATTTTTAAAACGACTTTCAAAAGAGGTTATTAATTCGTATTTATTTTTTATTGTTTAAGGCAATAAATATTTTTCTTATTTTTAATTCGAAATTCGAATTTAAAAAAAAAAATTAAAATCAGTTTGGAGCATATCATGACCTCGTACAAATTGTTTACGTTCCTTGTTCCACATTGTCAATATAAACATTTGACTTGTCTGTCGGTCAAAACGTGTACAGCACGTGTTTTATAATATCATTGTTAGATGTTTTTAATACCTTTGAGGTTAGGAACAATAAAAATTGTCCTTGACCCTTCTGGAAATTTAATTTAGTACAAATAATGTAACTATATTTCAACGAGAAGAATCTAAAACTAACTACAGTATATCTTAGTAATATTATAAATGCGAATGTTTAGATGTATGTTAAAAGGTATCTCCATAACGGCTGTATGGATCTCGATTAAATTTAGCATAAAGGTAGAACATAGTCTGGAAGAACATAAAGGGTACTAATTTCTTTTTTAATTCCGTGCGGACAGAGTCGTGGACGACAGCTAGTGTATAAATATTAATTTCTAATTTAGCTACAATTTAAAACTAGTGACAAATAAAAATTACTTTTGCCTTTAGGTAAAAAATGTTTCTTTTAATCTTTGACAATATTAAAAAGCTATAAGATTCATTTGTAATTATATAAAAAATACGATTCAAAAAATTTAAGTGAAGTGAATCCAAAGTAACGAACATTTTCAAAATAAGATATGACCTAAAGGTCTATGTTACCATGTCATAAAATTTAAAAAAAAAACGCCATATATATTTTTTTTAATTTTTGGTTTTTAATCTATTTGTTTTTTTTTTTTCATTTAGAATGCCATTGTGATTAAACTTTTATATTATTACGTAATAATTATTTAACCAAATTAAAACATTACTGTAATATATAAAGAAATACATAGAAAAATAAATTTTACTCACTTAGGATTGTTTTTGAATTACACAAAATTGAGTCGATAATTCACAAATTAAATAACAAACATTACAACCACAATTAATTTCATACTTTAAATGAAAAAAACTATTATAAATTATCGTTTAAAAAAAAATAATTTTGAAAACATTAAAAACCTCTTTGGTCAAAAATGTCACTGTCAACCGAAACACTTTTTTTTTAATTAATATTATTTTTCAACAATCTTGTTTACAACCGTCTCGTGTCCCGACTTTTCGTTACTAAATCCATATTCGTTCGAATACCCTGGATTGGATACGAGGGGCGGGATTACGGGAACGCCTTATTGAAATCACAAAATGGCTTAAACGACAACCAACAAACATAATATTTGTATAGTTACTTCTAACTGAAATTACGAATCTGAATATCCTAAATATTACGTACTAGCTGTAGCATGCGACTCCGTCCACGCGAGTTTAAAAAAAAAACTTAATTAGTACTCTAGTCTAACAAACATCCATCTAAACATTCGCATTTATAATATTAGTAAGAATTAAATAAGTAATTATTACTAAAACAGGATTTAAAAAAAAAACATTTTTAAAAAAAAAAAAATTTTTCATTCTTTATCCATGATTTGTATAAAAAAATACACTATTTTAGTGTTACAATAAGAAAAATATTAAGGAGTGGTGGCTTTAAGTCACATAAGACCTTATTACACGGCAAAAATACCCAACGAATGGGTACAGTCTTTCGTTTGACTCCACCCATTTGTACTAGATACGACTTTCTCTTTCCCTCTTATAGTATTAATAAAGGATGCAGAGAGGTCTTAATTTGATTTGATTAGACGTCGGTGGCGCAGTGCTTAATTTTTTAATCTACAAGCTATGGTTTTCATATTTCTTACTTCTTACTAATATTATAAATGCGAATGTTTACATTTATGTTTGTTACAAGGTAACTCCAGAACAGCTGCATAGATTTCGCTGAAATTTGTCATAGACGTAGAACATAGTCTGGAAGAACACATAGGCTACTTTTAAAGTTTTTTTTTTTAATTCCTCGCGTACGGACAGCTATTTTTTAAATATATCTGATGTTCTTACGTTGAAGGTAAACATCGTGATGCATACATCTGGTAAGAAATGGTACGTCTTTCACCTTCCATATTAAAATACCTTTTGTTAAGTAAAGTTATTTTCTTTCATTTGTTTTCTACTAGCTGTCGCCAGTGAGTCCGTTTTCAAGTAGTTAAAACTTAATAAGTAGTCTGTGTGTTCTTCCAGATTATGTTCTACATCTATGATAAATTTCTTCAAGAGTAATTAAGCCGTTCCGGAGATATCTTCTAAGAAAGTGGTGTTAGTTACACTATTTATAACTCAAGAACGGCTTTACTGATATGGCTGAAAATTGGTGAGGAGGTCGCTTAGTGCAAGGAGACGGACATAGGACTATTTATTCGATTTTTTGCGAATGTTTAGATGGATGTGATGTGTATGGATGGATGGGTGGGCTATACAAATTAAGTTTTTCATATATCCACGCGGACGGAGTCGCGGGCGACAGCTAGTTTATAATATTAGTAAGATAGAAGATGCATATTATTTAAACTATAAACAATTGCACAAATAAGTAATTGTTAATTTAGTTTGGACTTCTATTGATAGTTTGGAATTTATTTATTCTCTTTAAAAACAATTGCATCTTTATTTGTACAGCTTTTGTGCCAACTTATTGTTACGATTCATATATAAATGTGGGCTTAAATTATTTATATTTAAAATAAAGGACATCATGAATCGAATAATGTTAATATTGCTGGCATTGGTAAGTAATTATATTTTAAAATGTCAAAATATATTTTTACCTATTTGTCATACTTCTGTAGTGACTCTATGACAAATTTCTTTTTATTTATTGTTTTTAATTTTTATTTTACTTCTAGGCTCTAGTTGCTGTCGTACAGCCAAGTAAGTAAACTATTTAAGTTAATTTATTTTTACTTAATTTACATATAAAACTAGGAGGCCCGGCAGACTTCGTACTGTTTCAAATATGGGAAGAAAAAGGCTGTTTTACGGTTTTCTAGGCAATTATTCGAATTTTTCTCACCTTTCAAATCTTCTCTAACCCTCCACGAACAAAGACAAGATAAAATAGATCCGGTCAGTTCTCGACTTTTAGCGAGACTAACAGCATTAAATTTTTAAATATATTGTTAGGAAGAAAATCCGGAAATGAGCCAGTGTATTGACTCAACACTAGCCTTACTATAATGTCGACGTTTATGTCCGCCCCTCGCTATTCATTCTGACATTAGACATTGTAACGAAAGCACGTCAAACGCGCCAAAGGATGGTAATTAATAATGTCTAAAAATATATAGATAACTAGCTGTCGCTCGCGACTCCGTCCGCGCGGGATTAAAAATAGATGTTGGCCGATTTTCAGACCTACTCAATATACTCACAAAATTTCACGAGATTCGGTCAAGCCGTTTCGAAGGAGTATGGGAACGTAAATAGTGACACGAGAATTGTATATATAAGATATTGCTTAATAAAATAATAAATACGTTTTCTCAGATTGCATTAAACCTCCAAAAATAACTACGACAACGAAGACACCAACAACTTGCACAGATACAACAACAGAGGCACCGTCACCGTGCACCGATGGGACAACAACCAAACCGACAACAACCAAACCGACAACAACCAAACCGACAACAACCAAACCCAGCACAAAACCAACGGAACAACCAAGTTGCACAGATCAACCCGATCCTTCCTCGGATGACTTTAGTTATGCTGAAAGTGAAGCCGAAAGTATATCTTCAAGCAAAGGTGGTACAGCTTCAGCACTTTCTTTAGCGCAAAGCAAAGCTACTGGCAAAGGGAAGAGCTCTGCATTAAGCGCTGCATTGGCTTTCAGTGACAGTTCAAATGATTAATGTAATGTGTTATTTGTAATATATTTACGATAATTAAATTTATGAAATTATCAAAACGATTTTTATTTTTTAATTTAAATTTAGCAGACGTCCGCTACTAAGTCCGCGAGGAATGTAAAAAACAAATAGTAGTCTATGTGTTTTTCCAGACTATCTTCTACATCTATGACAAATTTAATCGTGATCCATCCAGAGATGTACTTTCTAAAAAACATCCATCCATCCATTAAAACATTTGCATTTATAATATTAGTAAGATTTAAAGCTTATTTTTATGATATGTTTATACCAAATATAACAGTGGTACAGCTCGTATTAACATCTTCGCACGAATTGTCCTCGCCCGGTGAAATACCACGACCTTACAGAAGACAGGCGTCAAGTGGAAGCAATTCCAACTACAGTCTGATGCGTGTGTGTCCCGGAGGCCTAATTTAGTCCTCTTTCCCTTTCGACCCTTTTTCTTGTAAGGAAAGGATGGGAAGTGGACTTTCTGGATGAGAGGGTCCATGGAAAGGGAAGACATTTTCTTTCTGTGCATCCTTTCCTCCGCCGATTAAACGCATATGCAATTGCGTATGTCTATGGGCAGCGGTCACTTCACTATTTCAGCGTTTTCAAGTGGCCGCTCGCTCGTTTGCCTCCTTATGATATAAAAAAAATCTGTTAATCTTGTTAAAATGATAATATCAAGCAACTCGTATCTCTGGCAGATAATAATTATATTATAAAACTATTAACAGACCCTAAGTTTATCATATAATTGCATTATTATCTAATAACGTAACATAAAACCGCAATCGAATAGATTTCGCGCCATTGTATTAACCCTCCAAATGTTTTGACAGCGTTACGCCATTTTTATAATTGAAATGTCACATGGGAGAGTCCGTTTTCACAATCGATTTAACTAGAGTTTAACTCGTAATTTGTAAACAAAAGATGTTATACTTAAATTAAATGATTACATCAATTTCAATATTTCATTGAATTTAACGTCTTTAAAAATATTTTATAGTTTAAGAATATATAAATATTACTGTAAGTTCTTACGGTGAAGGAAAACATCGTGATGCTGCACATATCTGAGAAGAAATGCAAAGATATGAAGTCAACCCGCACTTGACCAGCGTGGTTGACTATGGCCTAATCACCCTTAACTTAGGCTCCGAGCTCCTCAGTGGGGACGTATAGTGAGCTGATGATTGGGTCTGGACTGACTGTCTCTATTCCATACAAATGTAACCAGTACAGTTGAAATCCACAGTTCAGATATTCATCAGACAAAATACAGATTATATAAACTTCACTCCCAAATCGAATGAACTAAACAATAATACAACCTATAGTTAACTATCGCGTTAACAATAACAGTGTTACTAGGCTTAATAAATACGCCCCTCTAACCACACTTGATACTTCCATTGATAACCTAAAATTAAGATTTACGATATTTCTGTTTGGAATAAAAGATTAAAATTTCCGCTCACGGCCTTATTGTTTCCATGGTTTATAACATTTTAAAATTTCCCCAATAATTTAAAGTCTTTTTATTAAAAACTAGCTATCACCCACGACTACGTACGCGTGGATATATAAAAAAACTTAATTAGTGTAGACTATGTGTTCTTTCAGACTCTGTTCTATACGTATGCCAAATTTAATCGAGATCCGTTCAGCCGTTCTAGAGATATCTTCAAACATCCATCCATCCATCCACATCACATCCATCTAAACGTTCGCATTTATAATATTAGTAAGTTAAATAAAAAGCATACATTCGAAAAAAAAATGAATAAATAGTATCCGATGTCCGTCTCCTGGCTCTAAGCTACCTCCTCAACAATTTTCAGTCATATCTGTAAAGCCGTTCTTGATCTATAAATAGTGTAACTAACACGACTTTCTTTTATATATATAGATAGCTACTATTATTGTCTAACGTAGAGGAATGTATTGTTTCTCAAGATTATCGGTTCCGTTGTGAACTGTAGCATTCTTCCAGACTATGTTCTAAATGTATGCCAAATTTCATCGATATCTGATAAACCGTTCTGGAGATACCTTCAAACAAACATCCATCCATAACAACCCATCCAAATATTCGCATTTATAATATTAGTAAGATTATGTTTTTTAATTCATTAATAGTTCTGTCAGTTTGACATTGTAAAAAAATACTTTTTATATAGCTTCACTTAACTTTTTAATTTCCAAAAAGATCACAGCCAACCTAATAATCGTCCAATACTTTGTTTTTTTTTTCGACTGACTATTTAAAAAGTCAAATGTATGTAAAAGTGCGTAAAGGTCATAAATAAAGATTTAAATTGTTTGAGCACACGCCGATACACCGGGGACTCGTAAACTGACGCCCATACATTACTAATTAACACAATATTGTATTTTAATACTTAGGGTTCAGTATAAATAAAAAAATGGTGTAATAAATGTATGATATTCTTGACTAACTTGATGTTATCTTACTAATATTATAAATGCAAATGTTTAGATGTATGGATGTTTGTGTAAATGTATCTCCAGAACGGCTGAACAGATCTTGATGAAATTTGTCATAGATATAGAACATAGACTGGAAGAACAGATAGGCTACTAATTGTATTTGATATTAACTCCACGCAGACGGAGTCGCGGGCGACAGTTAGTGTGTAATAATAAAATAAATAACAAAAATATGTGAAAAAACATTTTTTAAATACATAAATATCGAATCGGAAGTTTTTCATTTTTATTTACAATTAAATAAAATAAAATATTATCGCACACAAAATCCGTTTTAATTTACCGTCTAAAGGAACGCTAAAATCATAAAAAAAAAAATGGAATCTAAAACCACGCGTGTCACATAACATTCAAATTAGGAAGCGGAACGGAACGCGACCTCGCGTCAGATTTGCCGCCATTTTTTCTGACAATTTTTTGCCGCTGTTTACGATCCGTGAAATATTGTTTCTTTTTCTATAAGTGGGACATAATTGATATCTCGTGTTAACAATTAGTTGATTCAAAAAAGAAAACGCATTATTTTCTTTACTTAGAAGTTCATCATCAGCTCAATATACGTCCCCACCGAGGGGCTCGGAGCCTACCCTGAGTTAAGGTTGATTAGACCATAGTCAACCACGCTGGCAAAGTGAGGGTTGGTTGACTTCACACATCTTTGAATTTCTTCTCAGATATGTGCAGGTTGCATCACGATGTTTTCCTTCACCGTAAGAACGTCGGATAAATGTACATATGTAAATCAGAAATCGAAAAACACATTGGTACATGGCGGGACTCGAACCCAGGAGCTGCAGATTGCAAGTCAAGTGCTTGACCACTGAGCCACCGAAGCACTTAGAAGTTACAAAACCATAAACATTTAATGCAACTTAAAACATCTGTGTTCATAATCTTTGTACTACATTATTTTTAAATCTACATCTGAACAAATATTTTGCAAATAATTAACAATATAAGTATAACTTAGATAAACAAAAAGACTTTCTTTTTTACATATTTGTAATTTATTAAATTGCATATTGTCCATATCTTTCGGATGGATGGATGTTTGTTAGAACGACTGCAAGAATCTCGCTGAAATTTGTCATAGATGTAAAACATACTCTGGAAGAACACATAGACTAATATTTAAGATTTTTAACGCAGACGAAGTCGCGGGCGACTGCTACTTTATCATAAATTCCTTTCCAGTGTTTTCGTTATCGTATTACAAAATATTTTTTTACTTTAATCAATATGGCAATTTAAAAATGCGCTTCTAAATTCGACGCTAAAGCCGAAGGGCTGGCTGTCTTTACTTGTACGTCATAGCAATCTCGTAACATAAACTAAAAAAAATTATGCGAAATTCAAAATTCCATTTTGACGCCTTGAATTTTGACGTTTGAGATGTCCCAACCAATGTTTAGTTTTTTTAATTTGCAATAGCTTTTTTGTTTTTACGGCAACTATAAAATGACGCGAATCATTAAAAAAAAATCGTGTTTCACGCGTACTTTATCTGTAATTTACATGACTATAAATTTGTGGTTATGTTATAAAAGACATGTTTTGTTATAAGACATTTTTAAAAAGAAATATTTCGCTCTGTGGTCGAGTCGAATTTTTATTATTTGTCAAATAACTTGTCATCGACAATATGAAATACCTTTTCTTCTTCCTTGTGGTAAGTTGTACAAAGAGTAAGACCATAGATAAACTTTTTTATCATAGTTCCTTTTCCTTTCATCGTCTTCCCGCCAAATCCTTTTCGCTTTCTTAATTTAAAATGGTAGGTTTTTTATATCATAAGGTGGGAAACGAGCGAGCGGGCACTTGAAATCGCTGAAATAGAGAAGTGACCGTTGCCCATAGACATACGCAATTGCATATGCATTGCCTACCTTTAATCGACGGAGGAGAGGATGCACAGATAGAAAATCTTTTCCATTTCCATGCATCCTCTCATCCGGAAAGTCCACTTCCACTTCCCATCCTTTCCTTATAAGAAAGTGGGTGGGAAGGGAAAGAGGACTAAATAAGGCCTCCAGGACGAACACTCATCAGACGAAACGCGGAATTGCTTCCACTTCACACCTGTCTTCTGTGTGGTCTTGGTATTTCACCGGGCGAGCCGGTACAATTCGTGCGAAGATGTTAAAGCGGGCTCCACCACTGTTAAAAGATTGACATTCAGACTACAGTGTCACAGGTAAAGGAAGGACACTAGAATTGTCTTTGGTCAAACTCCGACACAATGATGGCATAGTTGCGCGGGAATACTTGACAGTTGTCATATCTCTTCTGAATGGTCGTTGTACAGCCAGAGTCGAACTTGTGTTCAAACATGTTATTGCAAACTACCACTGTTAAATGATGTGTCTGGCTATCCCACTAGGCTGTAACAGTTTGAGATCTAGCACCCTCAGAGATTTTTACAGTTTTAAATGAGACTAAAATTCGCAGATTTGTAGCGACCTGGGCGATCGGTAAACCTCGCCCTATCCTAACGCCGGCTCTGTCTGGTTACAGACTTATATATACGTAATAATTTTTTCCTCAGGTCACCGTTGCGTTTTATAGTCCTGGTAAATCGGACGGTAAGTATTTTTTTAATATGCCACACGAGAAGTTCATTAAATTAGAACTGTCAGTGTGGCATTTCTCTTCTCTGTTCCGATATAAATAAAATGTTGTCGTCTTTTTCAGATGACAATGAATTAGCGAATGTTATTTGTAAGTATATTTATACATTACTAGCTGTCGCCCGCGACTCCGTCTGCGCGGGATTAATAATAGATGTTGGCCGTCAGACCTAGTCAATATGCTCACAAAATTTCAAGAGAATCGGTCAAGCCGTTTCGGAGGAGTATGGGAATGAAAATTGTGACACGAGAATTTTATTAGATTATTTGGAATTCTTTGACGCGAATGACATGCTTTCGTTACAAAGTCCAGTGTCAGAATGAATAGTGAGGGGACATAAACGTCGACATTTTAGTAAGGCTAATGTTGAGTCAAGTGGCTCATTTTCGTAATTTCTTCCTAACAGTATGTTAATATTGTCTTTTATGTTGGACCGAATTAGAGATGATTAGGTTATTTAATTTACAAAATATTTTTTTACAGCCGAAGGACTTAAAAAAGCATCTGATTTTAATGATAAGATATGTAAGTGTATTTTGTTTATTATTTAAACACGCTTTAGTTTACCAAAAAATCTAAAGCCTATATAACAAAAGTCCTAGCATGAGAATTTGGGAAAAAGTGCCGCGCGTAGAAATCTAATATAAATTTTGTTACGAATCTTGCAAATTTTCGTGCTATGACCCTTGAATGGAAACACTAACGCCTTGTCACAATTTTTATAATAGCTGTAGCGGAAATTACCAAAGATTCGAATGTCCAAACATGTCCAAACCAAACTAATCTTATTAAATCCTGCATTTTTATATTACAGCCGATATAGCAATGAAGTTTTTATCAAAAATTAACGGTGAGTTTCATATTTACAGCAATTTGAGTTTAGAAGCACACAAACATCGTGGGTTTCTGAAACCAAAGTACCCCGTTTTACGCGACTTCGTCCTCGCGGAATTAAAGAAATAATTAGTAACCTATGTGTTCCTCCAGACTATGTTCTACATCTATGACAAATTGCACCAATATTCGTGCAACCGTTCTGGAGATATCTTCAAAGAAACATCCATCTAAACATTCGCATTTATAATATTAGTAAGATTGTTATCTCTGTTATGTTAAAGATAAGGGAACGTACCCATACTACGTGACCCGTTTAGGGGGGGGGGAGTCCTTAAAATACTACGGTCAGTCACAGTAACGGGGGGGTGATTTTAGTTACGTAGTGGTTCCTTGTTTCTTTTTTCATAAAACATAATTCACTAGTAATTTAAATATGCATGCAGTCTTATGCTATAAAGAAGAGTATGAGACAAATTATAATTTTTTTCAAATTTTTACCTATGAAATGATTAAAAATCACAATTATGATTTACTACGTAAAAACTAAAGGGGGGTGTCTTGGCATGTACTAGTTGTCACCGAGGGGAGGGAGGGGTCGAAAAAACTAAAAAAAATTGATCACGTAGTATGGGTAAGTTCCCTAAAAACTGGGATGGTTTTGGTCTCAGAAACGAACGGTTAATCTTTTTATTATGACAATTGCTTGTGTAATTTTCACAGAACAAGTGGAGAACTTTATCGATAAAGTAAGACGAGGTAAGTTAATTAAAATAATTTCAAAGATAAAGAGAGCGTCGGTGACTCACTTGACCACATCACCATGTAGCAATGTGTTACATATGTACATTTATCGTATGTTGTTACGGTAAAGGAAAACATCGTGATGCTGCACATATCTGAGAAAGTTATGTGTGAAGTCTTGCACTGGACCAGCATTCACTATCACATAGTCTCACTTAGGTTAGACTCTGACCCTCAGTGGGAATGTATTGTGGACCTCATGATGTAAAAAGTTTCAATATAATTAGATTTAAATCTCAAACTCAGTTGAAAATTAATATGTTTATATCCTGTAGAGGCGCTACATTTTAATACAACGTTTTCCTTAACGTTACGAAAACATTCTCGTGCTAGGTCCCCAGTATTATTCCTGGAGTCTTGCAAAAGATCAGTGCAGTGTATCCGTTGACCCTCGTAGTCGCATTTGAGTTCACATGACTCTTTCCTTCAAAAGACTGAGTTTCTTTTTGAAGACCCTCCGATACAAATAAATTCCAGCTTGATACCTTCACGCGTTTTTGAGAAAAATGGTATTGACAAACAGACTGACGGACTACAGTGATCCTATAAGAGTTCCGATTTTTTTTCCTTTCGAGGTACTAAACCTTAAAAAGACACTTAGTATATGTTAGAGAGTAAAATTTATATTTTTAAAATATTCCTTGTATTATTGCAGCAAATATTTTCTCAAAGGCCAAAGATATCAGTGAAAACATAAGTAAGTATTTTAGTGTAAAACATATTTTATAACCCAACCAGGTAAATAAGAAACCTCGCGATTGCGCAAACATATAGTACAACATTCTTTACGCAGTTTAGAAAATAATATGCATAATAAAGTCGTCTATTTAAGCATGTTTATGTGGTTAGTGATCTTATGGTGAAGGAAAACATCGTGATGCTGCACATATCTGAGAAAGTTAAAGATATATGTTAAGTCAACCCGCACTTGGCCAGCGTGGTTGACTATGGCCTAATCACCCTTAATTTAGGGTAGGCTCCGAGCCCTTCAGTGGGGACGTATAGTGAGCTGATGATGATGTGCTTAGTTGGGCTATAACTCTAATACTTAATGTAACATATGAAGAAAAAGGAAACATTTATGGTATTAAAAGTTGCCAGATAGAAAAAAGGCAAATATAAATTTTCCCATCTTATAAAGTAACTGAAGAGCTGGTAACCTAGTAGAGCGTCGGTGGCTCAGAGGTTAAGCACATGACTTGTAATCTACAGGACTTGGGTTCGAATAATGTCATGTACTGATGTGTTACATTAACATATGTATATTTATCGTATGTTGTTACGGTGAAGGAAAACATCGTGATGCTGCACATATCTGAGAAAGTCAAATGTGTGAAGTATTGCACTGGACCAGCATTCACTATCACATACTCTCACTTAGGGTAGACTGCCCTCATGATGAAAGTATTTAAGATATTAGTTATATATGTATTCGTAAAATATATTTTTTCTTTGTCCAGATAATATAGCTACTGAAGCGGTTCAATCGAATAAGGACGTTGGTAAGTAAAGTTAAATATGAATTGTTTTTATAACATCTTTGCACCGGTAAGTAAAATTATAAACCTTCTTGAAGTGACGGCGGGTCGAAATGTACCCCTAACAATGTTTTACGCCAGTGTATGGTAGGTCTTTTTGGACCCACCAGTAAGAGTTTGTATTAAAATGATATAAATTTGCGGAAACATGATGTATATTTTCTTTACTGTTAGATTGACTTTGAATCGAACTTCCTTAGATTTGATTCTTCCATGGATTTGCCAAACAGGAAATGAGAAATAATTCAAATAGAAGCAGGTAAATAAGAATAAATAAAACAGAATTATCGTAAAAGAAACTTAACAGTTTTTTATTTTCTTATGCCTGTCTTTAAATATTGTCTCGCGTATGCAAGTTTTAGTTATAATTTTTATTTTTATCGCTTTTTTTCTGCAAGCAGAGCGCATGTGTTTCATCGTCAGTACTACGTAGGCTGAAAAGGCCTGCCGTATTTTAAAGAACGACTCCAATGTATATTGGTCTCCATCGAAATCTTACACAACACTTGAGATAATCGTTTATGACAAGCGAGACGGATATTTATTCGTCTGTAGTAACCGAAAGTACCTCGGCAGGCCGAAAAGGACCTGATCCGCAGTGAACGTGTTAAAATAAATTAATTGTGTAATTTACTTTTAATTTGTAAACTATGGTGTAGTTTAAACTACTTTTGGCTGTGCAACTCTTTTAAATTGTATTTGTATAAAAAATAATTTATATTTGACACTTTCAGCCAGCGCCATTTTGAATTCTCTTTCTGGTGAGTATTTGTTACTGAATTTGTTGGAATTTTTTACTTAAAAACATTTTTATAATTAATTTTGATTTAAACGTAAAATAATAAACAATTTTCTTAATGTTTAAATATATTTTATTCAATACATTCAAAAACTCACAGATGTGGTGCAGGAAGTGGCTGACGGTAAGGTTTTTTCTTTTTAATTAAAATCCTAAAGAGATAAGATGTGTTTTAATGTTTTGAATAGACACAAAAAGTACTGTATTAAGTTTTTAAAATGTCATATTAGCTTACGCCCGACATCATATGTGACATATGTGTTATTTCAGAATCTAATCTGTAACACAAATTTAATCTAGATCGTAATAAACATCCATCCAAATCGTCGATTATAGGCAACGTATCTGCAATTGCGGTTGTCTATGGGCACCGGTCGCTTTTTTATTTCAGCAAATTAAAATCGCTAGCTTGTTTGCCACCTGACATAAAAATTTATATTAGTAAAATTATTGCCACAGGTAAAAATAAATAGGATATTTAAAGTTAATATCGAATTAAATTATTATTAAATTAAATAAATAATTAATTATTCTTTAACAGTTATAAAAGATATTATTAAAGAAGCAAAGGATGACGCTAAAAGTAAGTGAAATACGTATTTTATATAATATTGTAGAATTCAATTGCCGTGACAGTTGTATAAATATTGTTGGTTAGGGCGTCCGTGGCTTAAGAGCGAAGCACTTGACTTGTGTAGCAATTTGTTAAATTTACATATGTACATTTATCGTATGTTGTTACGGTGAAGAAAGTCAAAGATATGTGTGAAGTCTTGCACTGGGCCAGCATTCACTATCACATAGTCTCACTTAGTGTAGACTCTACCCTCAGTGGGGATAATAAGCTGATGATATTATTGTCTTTATTTCGTCAAAGAGATTGAAAGGGATGGCATATCTATAATTGTCCGTGCAGACGAATTTAAGGTTATCTTTAGTACTAAAAGGAAAGTTATTCGCTATTTTTAAGTATTATTATAAATTATTGCTATTTCCAGGTGTAGCTGATGCTCTAGCAAGTTGAAATAATTACCTAATCTGTGAATAAAACGAATTTTCAAAGAATTATATTTTTATTTATTATCTAGCGCGCCCGTGAATTATTTAGCTATGAAGTTATGTCAAAATTGACCCACCCGCTACGGAGATAACACGGTACAAACGCGGAATTGCGAACACATATACTTTAAATTCTTTGTATAGATATATTACTAACTAGCTGTTGCCCGCGACTCCGTCCGCGTGGATATATAAACTTAGTGTAGCCCAACCACATCACATCCATCTAAACATTGGCCTTTATGATATTAGTAAGTTAAATAAAAAGCAGGCAAAAAGGCATAAATTCGAAAAAAAATGAATAAATAGTATCCTATGTCCATCTCCTGGCTCTAAGCTACCTCCTCGACAATTTTCAGTCATATCGGTAAAGACGTTCTTGAGTTATAAATAGTGTAACTAACACAACTTTCTTTTATATATATAGATTATAAATAAAACTCTTTATAATTTTGTTATCATTTTATTTATATACAATGTTATGTAATGAGATATAAAAAACTTATGTAAACAATTTTACCTTTATATATAAGTTACAAACAGACATCTTTGTCTCATTTATTTACTATATTGACATGACAAAATCCATAGACAATAAATTTCGTAGTATAATTTCTCTTTTATATTAAATTCCTCCTTTTTTTAATAAATATGAAAGAATTGACTAAACACTCACGTATATTCGTCCGGTGTCGGCACCGACTAGTTTCGAGCCCATCGGGGGCCCTTCAATCAAATCAATATACGTGAGTGTTTAGCCGTGTTTATATATCAGTTTAGTATAATATCTCACGAAAGTTATCTCACGTAATTTAATGAAAGAATTGAAATATACTTATTAAATATTTAGGATAGGCAGAGGTTAGAAATTTTAATTTTATTTAAACTTGGCACATCTTCGATTCTATCCACCGACAAGGATATCTCACAAGCGCCCCGTCTGTCACAAGATTCTTGTCGTACTGCATCTGACATGTCATGTTTATTCTTTTATGTCATTTTCTGTTTATTGTGTCAGAATTACCTGCATTAGCAGCGCATCTTAACTGTACGTTATAAAGTCTGTTATTAGTATATATAATCTGTCATTTACAACCAAAATGTGACATAGATTTCAAAAAATTACCAATCATGTCACATAAGGTTGACATTTATTACCAACTAGATTCTCGCGACTTCGTCCGTGTAATATACTGTCTTTGAGCTGGGCGATACTGTACAGTACTTGGAAATTGCAACATATTTTTCTAAAATTAAATATTTTATCTGGCTTAAACTTAGCCTAAGTTACTCCTTATTACATCAGCTACCTGCTAATAAAGGTTTTGTCTAAATCGGCCCAGCCATTTCAGAGATTAACCGCCACAAACAAACAGACAAAAGTTGTATAAAATGTTATTTTTGGTGTATGTACCGTATGTATTCATATATAAGTAGTAAAAAACGGTTAATTCAATATTATAAACAGACACTCCAATTTTATTTATATGTATAGATGTGTTATATCTTATATATTTAAATGAGCAATTCTTGTATATATATAATTGGAATCTCGGAATCGGCTCCAACGATTTTCATCAAATTTAGTATAATATATAGGGGGTTTGGGGGGCGATAAATCGATCTAGCTAGGAATCATTTTTAGAAAATGTCATTTTATTCGTGTTTTATCGATAATCAACTTAAACATAAACTTAACTTTTCTATCGGTAAGATCGAAAAATATTATTCATATTTCATCATTTTATTAGTAATTCGTACTTAATAATCTCATATTAGCAATATTACCAAGTTTTGACACTTTCACAATATCGACAGTAATAAAGAGTATAAATAATAAATCTTCATTCGTTACATCACCAACTAACAACAAATTCATTATTTCCTTTAGCAATAAATAAATCAGAACAATTCTTTTGTGAATCGTTTATTTTTTCTTCTGCCAACGGATAAATATCTTTCTTATCATCTTTCCTCTTCTTACAAATGCTGTATCTTTTAGTTTTTATATTCAAATGTACCTTTAAATATTACATTTACTGTTAGTTAATTAAGAAAAATAGAAATTGAAAATTGCCCGCAATTTCATCCAGAATTAAAATAACAAGTAACTAACTAACTAGTAACAAATAAAGTTCAAGAACTTTCAAAACTGTTCAGTAGTTTTGGAGTCTATTCAATACAAACAGACAAATCTTTCCTCTTTATAATATTAATACAGATAATTCTAACATCCTGTATCGTAAATGACAGAACAGATTTGTGACAAGTGAGGTGTCATTCGATTCGTATTCTTACAAAGAGTGTCATAGATACAGTCAATTGGATTTTTTTGCTTTTTAATTAACAAAAAGTGTTATCAAATAAAAGACAAAGCGGAAATTTTATACCTTTTAAGCTAGATTTTTAATAAAAAAAATCTTTGATTAAGAATTATCGGCGAATTTCGACCAATTGGCGAATATAAAGTATTCTTACCTGTCTATTATGTTTATATAAATTCGATTTCTGTGAAAATGTCGTTGGACAATATTCGCAGATGAAAGGTCTTTCCCCTGTATGTGTACGGATATGAGATTCTAATTGAACTTTAGTCTGAAATAAATAAAAATATAAACTATAGTTGTATGTTATAGGGCCCTAAGATAGGACATACTTTAGGCCCTTAGTTTCCATTGCTGCAATTGAACTTTAGTATGAAATAGAAAAAAAAATATTACATTGTTGTTATAGGGCCCTAACATAGAACATGTTCGAGGCCCTACACATATTACTATAGTATGAAATAAATATACATGATAAAATTACATTTAGTTTCGAATTTAAAAGCGAAAGTAGTTTTTGAGTTTTTCTTGAACAAATATTGAGTTTATTTTTTAATTTAAAAATCCACATAGTAGTTTTTGAGTTTATCTTGAACAGTATTTTTTTCTGTATTTATCAATAATTATACATACTGGAAATCCTTTACCGCAGTAGTGACACATTTTATTATTAGGTCTATCACGATGTACATATCTAATATGTTGATCTAAACCAACACGATTCTTTGTGGCCTGAAAATAACACAAGTTCAGTTCAATTCCTTGTTTATGGCTCTCCCATAGTGGATTGGGCCAGACCATAGATACTTGATATTTATGGTATTATTCCAGTTTGGAAGAGACTTACAACCTTAGGTATTAGATTCTTAATGTATGGATCAAAAGCTTTGTGCAAAGGTATACCGCATAAATCAGCCCCTGGTGCTCAGATTTTGAATTTTTTTTTTCAATAGGTCTAAAGATATGAAAAGATAAAATTCATATTTGAAACTATAGCTACTAAGGTAGATACTGAAATAAAGCTTTTGATCCTTTAAGAAACACTGTATAAATAAATAAAGCAAATTTAGGGTTCACATGTAGTAGCAGGCAAGCAAGGTAAGGTAAGTCAAGGTAGGAGCAAGCAAACATACAATTTTAGTATCATAGATATATATATTGCCTTGTGTATTAAAAGGCAAAGTGTATATAAGTTATTTACCTTATTACATATATGACAGTTATATACTTTATGTAAATGTTTATCTTCTATATGGTCTCTTAGTTTTGTTTTGTCAGCAAAACGTTTATTACAATGATCGCAAATAAATCTGGAAGATACATTTATATTTTTAGGATTTAAGTAGTTTTTGAGTTCTTTTTTAATGAAAACTAAATCTCATCAATAAATATACAAAAAATAGAACAGTTTTACGTAGTGTTTGGGTAGTTTTTGAGTTTTTCGAGACATAAAAAATTAAACCTTTTTTATATTATAATATTAGTAAACAAGTGAATTTTCTTTCAAGAATAAAGAAAATATACTGTACACTAGTAGAGGTCCCCAAGATAAATCGGCTCAGTAGTTTTTGAGTTTATTTGAGCCAAATACATTTTTTTATAAATTATGTGTTTTTATTCTAGTTGTCTCTGTTATTGTCTATAGAGAAAAAAGGGATAGAAAAGGGATTTAATATTAATAAGTTTAAAAGGACCTACTTTAGTTGATCTCTTGATACGTGTTTCAAACTATTACGCAAATGTCTCTTATAGGAACATATTGATGAGAATTCTATACTACAAGTGACACAAAACGCTGCCCCACTATTCGTTGCTTTTGTCTGAAACAAATATGACATGACAAGGTAACTTGACTGACAAATATCCGACACGTGACCCTAAATTATAATCCTTGTCGTAGCTGTCTTGTTTGTTATTTTCTATGTCTATGTATGTTTTACATATTTTATGACAGTACTAACAACGTTAAAGCACCTTTCATTGGGATAAATAACTTTGTCTGTCGGTACGACAAAGATTTTGTTACATGTACAGGGTGGTTGCTTTTGAGCTATTGTAATTTACATCACATGAGCTTAGTTGACTTTTTAATATAATGATTCAGTGATTTTTATGTTTGTATGTATATTGTAATGGTTCTCAATTGAATTGTAACATCCTGTATCATAAATGACAGAACAGATTTTGACAAGTGAGGTGTCATTCGATTCGTATTATTCCCTAGAGTGTCATAAACGTACAGGCAGATTTTTTTGAAATATAAATGTTAAGTAATTATATAAATTATTTAAGATAAATAATACCTTAGTATCATGTTTTTCAAGATGCCGTTTCAAACTTGTTCTCCAACGAAATACTTTATCACATATTGTACACGGAAATGTGTTTTGTAACTCATGTACCGCCCTGGAAATATATACCGACAGTTTATAAACTGACTAAGAACGTTGTTACTTAAAATAATGTAGACTTTCATACAGTTAACATAAAGAGCACTGTTAGTACATTTTAATGTTAAACACGCGGATAAATAATTTCATTCACTTGTACACAGTACGATTCGTTCATATCATTCACTTATGAAAAGAAACCGTTCATTTCAGTCACTTCTTTACGAAACGAAGTGTTTATTTCATTCACTTACGAACAAAAGAAACCGTTCATTTCAGGCACTTGTTTACGAAACAAAGTGTTTATTTCATTCACTTGTACACAATAGGATTCGTTCATATCATTCACTTGTGAATAGCACCTTTCACTTCATTCACTAACTACATGAACTCATTTCATTCACTCTTATTGTTCATTCCATTCACGTATCAATTTTTTTCATTCATCGAGCAGACAGTAATATTTTTTTCTATACTCACAGTCTATGGTTGACGAGACCCGCTCTATGGCTAAATGTCTTCTCACAATCTGTGCACTGCACTCTAGATTTATGACTATCTCTATGGTAACGATGGCTGTCTATTGAACTGTTGAAGTAAATTAAATTACTATATTTTAAGAATAAAATAAACATATTTTAAGCAACTTTTACGTTTACATGTATGTTCATTTAATTTGTAACATCCTGTATCGTGAACGAGTAAACAGATTTTGACAAATGAGGTATCATTCGATTCGTATTCTTCCCTAGAGTGTCACAAAATATATACGCGTCAAAAATCCTAATTCAGTCGGATTAAAAAAGTAAAAAAAAACAAAATATCATACTTAGATATCTTCCCACAGAGATTACATTGATATTTTTTTAAAGATATCTCATGCGTTGTGTAGAAATGTTGCTCTATCGCCTTCTTGTCTAGGGTACGTTTCTGACAGATCACACACTCGTATCTATGGTCAGTAAATACAGATTAAATAAAACAACTATATTTATAAACCAAATGATAATTAGTAAAGATAGTTTTCGCGCGACTCTGCGCGTTATTAAAAAAATAGTAGCCGATGTGTTCTTCTAAACTATGTTCTACATCTATGACAAATTTCAGCAAGATCGATGCATCTGTTCTGGAGATACCTTCTAACAAACATCCATCCATCCATCCAAAAGTTTCACATTTATGACATTAGTAACATAGGAAGGGGAGATAGACTTGACAGAGAGAACAAAGAAAGGATATATCATTTTTAATCTTATCCTCAGACAGGCTACGAAATTAAGAATTAGAAACAATTTTTCATTTCTATTTTTAAACAAATGTTTCGACAATGTAAACGCACAGATATACACTAAAAACACATAAAAAAATGACTTACCTTTTAAAATGTCTTTTACAATGTTCAGAAAAAGATTCAACTGACGCAAGAGAAATACTGCATATAGGACATCTGTGTGTACCTAAATCCTAATAAAACAAAAGATTTAATAAAAAAAAACTTCAAAAAATAAGCTTTTATTATATACATTTTATAATCTATTTAACGGCTAAAACACCAAGTACGTAGTCACCGACTAGTTATTAACCCATTAGGGCCCTATACCAGTCACTCACACTAATGAAGGGCCCTAGTCGGAACCGACACTGGATAAACTGACTTGATTATTTTACCTAATTTTAATGATAATTATTAACCTATGTGTTGTTCCAGACTATGTTCTATATGTATGACAAATTTTAACAAGATTCATTGAGATGTTCCGGAGAAATTCTAACATACATGTATCAGTGGTAGAGTCCGCTTTAACATGTTCGCAGGAATTGTCCTCGCTCAGTGAAATACCACGACTATACAGAAGACATGCCTAAAGTGGAAGCTATTCCAAGTATAGTCTGAGGAGTGTGCGTCTCGGTGGCCTAATTTAGTCTTGTTTCCCTTCCCACCCTTTTTCTTATAAGGATGGTAAGTATAAGTGGACTTTCCGGATGAGAGGATGCATGGAAAGGGAAGACATTACTTTTCTGTGCATCCTCTCCTCCGTGGATTAAAGGTAGACAACGCATATGCAATTGCGTATGATTATGAGCAACTGTCGCTTCGCTATTACAGCGATTTCAGGTGACCGCTCGCTCGTTTGCTAACTTATGATATAAAAAGAAAATATATATATAAAGTACTTACAGATTTATGTTTGTTCATATGTGTGTTATATGTTTTATTACTATTATATCCAATAATACAACTTTCACATTTATATTTCGCTTTAGTAAATACATCTCTTGTTTTCTCTTTCTCCCTCTCTAATAACATCTCTTCGTAAGTCAATTCAATTATTAATATCTTCTTTTCACTGTCGTCTAAAGGTTTTTTCAACTGAAAGAACAAAATAAAAACATACAGACAAATCAAACCTCCTTGGTTTTGTCAGTAAAAAAAATCCTTAAAAAAGTCAATATTTTATAATTTATCTATACAAAATAGCCAGGGGTTTTGATGACAAAATTCATTTTCTTTTCATTTTTTTTTTAATTTAGGTATATCTAGTCTGATTATAAATTATCGGAATTAAAAATCTAACTGCAACATACCTTTTTGGTACTCTTACTCTTTTTAACTTTACCTCTTTCTCTTTTACTCTTTTTATTCTTTGAACTTATAAACTTCTGTAATTCAGTTTCCAGTTCTAAATCGGAACAATCTGATGTTGACTCTTTTGTGTCAGAATATTCTTGTAAATCTGAAAGAAAATTATTAAACACTGAATGTCATCCGCAAGGAATTAAAAACAAAACTTTAGTCTATGTGTTCTTCCAGACTATGTTCTACATCTATGACAAATTTCATCAAGATCCATGCAGCTGTTCCGGAGATACCTTCTAACATACATCCATCTTAACATTTATAATATTAGTAAGATATGGCCTTACTATAAATAGCTTAGTAACTAAAATAATTATGACACTATTATAAATGTGAATGTTTAGATGTATGTTAGAAGATATCTCCAGAACAGCTCAACGGATCTCGCTGAAATTTGTCATAGATGTTAAACATAGTCTGGAAGAACACGTAGGCTACTAATTATTTACTATAGCATAAATACCTTTGTCATATTCAATTTTCAATTCATCTTTAACACAAACAATCTGTAAATCTTCTGGTTTGTTTGTATCAATATCTCTTGAAGTTATTCCATCAGTCTTTTCATTATTCTAAAATTAAAAAAAATTTAAAATATATATATATATACATAGAGTGTTTAAATAGAAACTCATAGAAATACCTGAATATTAGATATCTCTGTATGTCTATCTTGTTCTACATCTGAATTGTCAGATAGTAAAGTGTCTATTTCTTCCAAATGATTGCTGACTGTATCATCTGTAAAGTATATGAAGAAAAAAAAATAAGTAATAAAAATTTCAAAGTTATAAAAAAATCCTAGTCAAATTATATATTGTCCAAATTCACATATGATCTGTGACATAAATACAATTCTATCAAGTATGTCATATACTCAAATTAAACATTCAAATGAAATAACACTGTCAAATTAATTAAAAAATAAAAATTACATACTGACCAAATTCACAATTTTACTGTGACATAAATAAATACTAGCAATTACCTTCAATTTTTAATTCATCTTTAACACAATCCAATTGACTCCATTCTTGGGACCAATCATTATTTGGTACTATGTTAATATTTTTATTAACAACAACTTTCAATCTAGGAGGCCTAGATACATCTGAGAGAAGACGTTCTACAAGATTCTAGAAAAAAAATATAACATCATCTCACTATCCATCCCCGACAAGGAGCTTGGTGTCTACACTGAGTTAGGAGCTATAGTCAACCACCCAAAATTGTGAATAGCAAGCAGGCACAAAAGATCATTTTTTTTATATCATAAGGTGGCAAACGTGCTAGCGGCCACCTGAAATCGCTGGAATAGCGAAGTGACCGTTGCCCATAGACATACGCAATTGCATATGCGTTGCCTACCTTTAATTGACGGAGGAGAGGATGCACAGAAAGAACAAATATTTTCCTTTTCCATGCATCCACTCATCCGGAAAGTCCACTTTCCATCCTTGCCTTATAAGAGAAATAGTGAGAAGGGAAAGAGGACTAAACTAGGCCTCCGGAATGCACACTCATCAGACGAACCGCAGAATTGCTTCCACTTCACGCCTTGCTTCTGTGTGGTCGTGGTATTTCACTGGGCGAGCCGGGACAATTCATGCGAAGATGTTAAAGCGGGCTCTACCACTGTTATAAAATGGTCTTTAGCCTATCCATAGAGGTCAATGGTTGACCCTTAACACTATTGACCTACTTACCTCACTTGTGTAAGTCTGCAGTATCCTATATGAATCTTTTACTTGTTCCCTGAAGCTAACATCTCTCTTTAATATTGCTTCACATTCCCAGCATATTGTTATAGATTTTGGTATATCACAGTGCTGCCAACATAAAATAAATAACACTAGCTTTTGCCCTAAGGGTGAAAAATATCTGTGATAAATTTCTATAATATGTGTTTAACTGTTGGGGCATTATCAAGTAAATATTTAAATCAAAGGTACAGAACTTTACATATTTCCAGGATCATAGAAGCTAGTGTAATCAACCTAAATATCTTTCTTAATCTATGTCAAATCTCACTAAGATTTATGCAGTTCTGGATACCTTCTTACAAACATCCATCCATCTAAATATACGCATTTATAGTAAGTAATTTATTAGTAAGATTTACTTGAATTTACACAGTATACAGTGTTATGTTCAAATACTAATATTAATATTCATAATCTCTGCCTGCTCCTTTAATTCACAAGTCTGGATTATCATGTCATTTTTCTGTGATGAAATAGAGAAAGGAATATTACGTATACTCACAGGAATTTCTCTAATACAATCCAAATAATACTTCATAATATCAATTGATTTTAATTCTTGTAAAGACTTTTCCACACACAAACAAGCCATACATAGCAGATTGTTTACAGCCTCAGTTTTAGACTCCATTATAAATATTTACTTATTTATTATTATAAAGATATTAAAAGTAAGTTAATTTTAAAAATATATTTCGAGACATTTCACATCTTATTACTTAAACATATAGTTCGATGAACATTTTTATTAAGCACTTATTTTAGGAAAAATATGACATTTAAGTTATTGATTAATTAAACAACACTGTAAAAGTTGAAGGAATTTGAAGGAATAACATTTTTGAAAACAAAACAAACCGCAGCCATTATTACCATAGACTAAGAATATGGTGTTATTGCAAAAGATGCAAAAGTTGGCAATACAAAGAGTGAAAAGAAATTCACATTTTGATAAACTTATTATTTCGAACGTCAAAAGCCGAAAAATATCTAATTTGGCTAATTATAAGTAATAAAAATCAATAATTTTCATTTCCAACTGTTTTCATATTCAACTTTAATCAACCACAAACAAACACATCAAACGTCGAAGTCAAAAGCAAAAAGTCAAAACCCCAGCAAACATAAGCAGCCATTTTGTAGTGTCGTGGTACTATTAAAAGTTGTTCATCAAATTTCGTCTATTTTACATGGGAGTATTACTTTTTGTTATGATCCGATATTTCATTTCAAAGTGATAGTATAATTTAGATTATACGAAAAAAGTATTTAGAATTGTAATAAAATGGAGCAAGACGTGGAAACAATACAACGCAGGATATGTAATACTTGCCTCAGTTTGGATCGTGATATAATTATTTTAAATGAACAATCGGATTTATTCCAAATGTTTCGTCTGTTAACTTACGATTTCGCGGGTGAAGTGAGTATTTTGAAATCTCGCAAACTTTTACAACTTTATAATTTCCTTGTATTGTAAACGTGAATTAATACCGTAAAACGTGTAATTAAAACCTGTAAATTGTTTAATTCCTGTTAATTTTTTAATTGTAATCTATTATAGTATTATGTTATAATTTTTTTCCCATTTGCCTAATTGAATCGGACTAAAGATTTGCGTTTTTGTATGTAAAATAAACTCTAAAACTTCTGGATTATCTAAATATTCATTCGCCTTCAGAAAGCTTATTATCTTATAAGATATGCTATATTTATTATTACGTTTTCTTCAATTTTGTGTAAATGAATGGAAAAGATATATTATTATTTTTTTGTAACTATCTAAAGCATCTCTAAAGACGAATAAGTTTTTCTCATTTCAGTTAGATTTTTTTAAATTATTGTTTTCTTATTTTCAGTTTGACACATTAAATGGCCAGACATTAGAAGTGTGTTGGGAATGTGTCGCCATGTTGAGGAAATTCACCAAATTCAGGACAAAAGTACAAACAGCTCAACAACATTTAAGAGTTATCAGCGATACACAAGAAGTATGTAACTTTTTATAATCTTACTAATATTATAAATATGGATGGATGGATGTTTGTTTGAAGCTATCTCCGGTACCGCTGAAAGGAATTTGGTGAAATTTGGCATACTTATAGAACATAGTCTGAACACATAGGCTATTTTTTTTTTTTAATTCTGGGAGGACGGAGTTGCGGGCGAGAGCTAGTGTATGATAAATATTATTTTAGTAAATACCAATAATTATTTTTGAATCACCAAATGTATATCAAAATTTGTCATAGCTCTGGCTTAGCAATTGTTCATTACTATAAATTCGAATTCCGAGATAAGTCTGTGGCAAAAAGCCCGGTAGCAAAAACAGAAACTTACTCTGTGATTGGCTCCCGCGTTTTCTCGCGCCAAAGAAGGGCGCGAACACTGTCAATTACAAATACTGACAAGATTGAATTGATTATAGAACTATGGCTCTTATAATTAATATATTTGTGCATTTGTTTAATCATTGTTGCTGATGTTATCAACGCAGTCTACATTGCGACTGATTTACTGAACTAAGAAAATCCATAAGGCTAAGCAAAAACTAAGAAAAGATTTACGTAAGCTAAGCCTAAGCTAAAAGAAAGCAAAGTCTAAGTATTGTTAGGAAGAAAATCCGACACTGTGCTGGTGTACTGGCGCAACGCTAGCCTTATTAAAATGTCAACGTTTATGTTCCCTCACTAATCATGCTGACACTTGACTTGGTAACGAAAGCGCGCCATTTGCGGCAAAGGATTCTTACTATTAATGTCTAAAAGTATAGACTATAAATTTCAGCCTTAAATAGCCAATATTGCTATTATTATAAAGTTTATAATTTAATAATAGAGTTAGTTAATAATTTTTCAGAACATGGATCATACATATTTGTCCCAATCTTTATCATCAATGGAAATGATATTAAAATTAGGTTATGACAAAATATATATTGATACAACACCAAAGTTACTAACAGAGTGGTCACCACATTATATAGAAATAAGTACATCGGAGAACATCAAGAATGAACAGTATGATATCGCTCAAGTTGTAAGAGAGAATATTAATTTGGAATTAGATGACAACATATTAACTGGTATGTATTTTTAACAACTATTTTGTTCAATTTGTTCATTATTAAAAGGACGATTATACAGAAATTTTCTGAAATTATTCCTAAAGCAAGACAAAGCCGAGTGGATTGTGTACTTGACTAGTTTGTGATAGATTGTAGATTCGAATCCCGAGACAGATTAAAATTTGTTGATAATTTTCTAATTATTGCATTTAATAATGAGAATAAAAGCTTCTAGAATATACTATCAATATCATCATCAGCTCCCTATACGTCCCCACCGAGGGGCTCGGAGCCTACCCTAAGTTAGGGGTGACTTGGCCATAGACTTCACACATATCTTTGAATTTCTTCTCAGATATGTGCAGGTTGCATCACGATGTTTTCCTTCACCGTAAGAACGTCGGATAAATGTGCATATGTAAATCGGAAATGGAAAAACACATTGGTACATGGCGGGATTCGAACCCAGGACCTGCAGATTACAAGTCAAGTGCTGAAACCACTGAGCCACCGACTATTCAATCAGTAAACTTTATTTCAACGTATATGTTTGTATGTATAAGAATTTGTTACATCCTGTATCGTAAATGACTGAACAGATTTTGACAAGTGAAGTGTCATTCGATTCGTATTATTCCCTAGAATGTCATATATACAGTCGGATTTTTTTAATCGAATACAAAATGGAATGTATTTAATTTTATTGTTTTTATACAGTTCCATCTGTAGTTATTGACGGTCAAACAGTACCGCATATTATGATAAATGCTGAACCATTAGCAACGGAGACAGGATACAAGGAATCAAATAATTTAATCATACCGGAATTAACAGTCAGGTAAGAGTTTAAATCTTACTAATATAAATGTGAATGTTTAGATCGGTGGTTCCCAAACTTATTTTGTCTACTGCCAACTTTGAGAATCAATATTTTTTTAGCGCCCCCATATTAGAGTTTAATGAATCTTTTAATTCATATTAGTTGATGTTCACAAGTTGTTGAGAGTGGAGAGCTCATGCAGTCGTTGTCTAAGAGGCCTCCTAGCTAAATAAAATTACAAACCACCCCCCAGGCCTCTACACTACGCCCCCATTTTCTTTTTGGGTCTCTTACCGCCCTTGAGACCTGCAGCGCCCACATGGGGGCGTTATCGCCCACTTTGGGGAAGTCTGGTTTAGATGGATGTTTGTTTGAAAGTATCTCCCAAACATGTATGCAACTCGGTGAAAGTCTGGAATACATAGGCTGCCAATTTTATTCATATGATAGTTGATCTTTCAGTTCATTAGAAATTCCCAATTTAAATGTGAACATTGAAAAAATACAAAAGGATATAACAGAAGAAAAGCCAGATTTAAAAGCTGGATACACAACAGAATATATGAATGAAGAGGACATGTTAGCTTTTAGGTAAGAACACACTTGATAATCACACTTATCTGGATCAGGTTAACTTTTTTTTGTATGGGGGGAGGGGGATTTTTGTTACATACCCTGCCTTTGGGGGGAAAGACAGGGTTTGTTTAGAAAAACTAAAAAAAAATACGTCACATAGTATGGTTATGTTCCCTAACATCGATAGTAGCGCCTCTCATTAGCCCAAATATCCTTGTTTGGCTATAGTTTTATTTAGGTCCACCTGGTTAGATAAATTCACATTTTTTAAGATAATTTTTCAATTTTTTAGGGAAGAAGCTAAAAAGAAATTCGCATATGCTAGTGCTATACATAAATGTGAACTTTGTATTATTGGTTTTTACACGCAGCAACAAGTTGAAGAGCATTATGAAGGCGCGCATAAAGCTGTAAGTCAACACATGCTACACTGCATCATCTAAATGTTACATTACTTGCCAAACTGTCATTCAAATATGACAGTACTTGCCAGATTGTCATATAAAGTATACAACATTTGCCAGATTGTCGTGTAAAGACTACAAAATTTGCCAACAGCAATCATTCTTCTCAGACAACGATTTTTGTCGATTTTTATGTCATTTTGAGAATACAAAATTTATCAAACAAAAATTGCAATAATTGCTGTCTCTTATTTCTTAATATGTATTCCATTTAGATCACATGATTTGTTGATAAAAGTAGTATGTATTTTTTTAAACTAAGACATTATGATACTATTGGAGGCTATAAGACACACCCAGGGCCACTACTTGCAGTACATGTAGGGCCACTACTTGCGGTACATGCAGGGCCACTACTTGCGCTACATGCAGGGCCAATACTTGCGGTACATGTAGGGCCACTACTTGCGGTAAATGTAGAGCCACTACTTGTTGTACACGTAGGGCCACTACTTGTTGTACACGTAGGGCCACTACTTGCGGCACATGCAGGGCCACTACTTGCGGTACATGCAGGGCCACTACTTGCAGTACATGTAGGGCCACTACTTGCAGTACATGTAGGGCCACTACTTGCGGTACATGTAGGGCCACTACTTGCGCTACATGCAGGGCCACTACTTGCGCTACATGTAGGGCCACTTCTTGCGCTACATGCAGGACCACTACTTGCGGTACATGCAGGGCCACTACTTGCGGTACATGCAGGGCCACTACTTGCAGTACATGTAGGGCCACTACTTGCGGTAAATGTAGAGCCACTACTTGTTGTACACGTAGGGCCACTACTTGCGGCACATGCAGGGCCACTACTTGCTTTACATGTATGGCCACTATTTGTGGTACATGTAGGGCGACTACTTGCTTTACATGTAGGGCCACTATTTGTGGTACATGCAGGGCCACTAGATGTGGCACGTGTGCCTGTGATGTGACAGCAGTTGCGTAACTTAGCACAGCTGAGATAGTTCCCCCGTCGCGTCGCGCAGAGGGAGGGCACCGCGCCGTGCAAGGTTTGCTACTCGTACGTGGAGGAGGGGCGCGTGTCGCAGCACATGCAGGGCCACTACGTGCGGCACGTGTGCCGGCTCTGCGGGCACGCTGAGGCGACTGTGCGCTGCGCACAGCTGCACGTCCAGACTCACCATGAGAAGAAGTTGCCGAGCTCACTTATCAAGATTGGCGATATAAAGCAAGTTGAAAAATTGGTAAGTTAATTTTTTAAGCAGCTAACTGTTTTATTTAGAAAAATAAGTTTTTGATACAGTGTTTTATTTTAGCGTCAGAAAAAGAAAAAAAAAGATACGACGACGACCACATCAGATCCGAAAGGTTTAAGGAAATTGCTCTCTAAAACAACAATTGTTGGTTATCAATGTCTAGAATGTGATATGTTCTTTAAGTGAGTATTTTTAATATTATATTTTTTAATTGGAAATAGATTTTGATTGATAAAGATTAACATTTGCCTTCTTATTACTAAATTTTAAGTGAAACTAAGCACAATACATTAGTGAAAACTGCATTTAAATCGTTTAAGCCGTTTTTGAGATTAGCTCACACAAACATACAGACAAATGTACTGACGATGTTTTTATTCAGAAGTGTAGCTTAAGCTGTTTTGACGAGTAAAAGTGTCATCCGATTTCCAAATTACAAAACTCTTTTGTAACGACCATTTTTGGATTTTTCATAATCCTCTGTAACTCTACTAGTCAAGCTCTTTCATCATTTTGGGGTGGGCAAAAGATGCTAACATTTCATCCCTCAAGTTCTAATGCCCGTCTTAGATTTAACATAGTGTTCTGTATTTTACTAATCAAGCTTTTTCATTTGACGGCCATGTTTAAGTGGTTGTACAAAAATAAGATCCCCCATTTTGTGAGCTTGATTTTTCATGGTGTATTGATTAACTAGCTGTCGCCCGCGACTCCGTTCGCGTGAATATATAAAAAAACTTAATTAGTGTAGCCTATGTGTTCTTTCAGACTATGTTCAATACGTATGCCAAATTTAATCGAGATCCGTTCAGCCGTTCTATCTGTATCTTCAAACATCCATCCATCCACATCACATCCATCTAAACATTCGCATTTATAATATTAGTAAGTTAAACAAAGAGCAGCTCTTCAAGGCATAAATTTAAAAAAAATGAATAAATAGTATCCTATGTCCGTCTCCTGGCTCTAAGCTACCTCCTCACCAATTTTCAGGCATATCGGTAAAGCCGTTCTTGAGTTATAAATAGTGTAACTAACACCACTTTCTTTTATATATATAGATTAGTAATTATAAGGGACGTATTTTATTATTATTATTATTTTGTATGTATTTACTTTATGTATATTCAGGAATTCTCGTGCACGTAAGGCTCACGTCGCCAGATATCACAGGGAGGGCTTGCAATGTGATCATTGTAAGAAGAGATTCGTCAACAGAACTACTTTAGTTACACATCTCAAGTAAGTTGTATACAGGGTGTTTCATGTTCCTTTATTATTATTTTTATAGAATATTTTTTAGTAAATTTTCTTACATATTTTTTGTGCTTAAATATATAGTGAGTGCCTCTATGGTCATATTTTTTTTAATTGCTTTATTACTTTTTTATTTTCACTTAATTGGTCCAATGGTCAATACAATTCCCATTGAATCGGTCCAACGGGAAACATTTTTAATACGTAAAGCTATTTTTTTTTTGTTTAAATGTAAAATTTGACATGTTTTTTTTTTTATGAAAAATAAATCAACAGATTACACGAAGGTCCACCGCCGAGAGAGCAATGTCCGATATGCTCTAAACTGGTACGAACTGTGCAATTGAAATATCATATACAAAGACATCAGAATAAAGGCCGGTACGAATGTACCGATTGCAACAAAGTATTCTCCTATCTCACAACGTACCAGGGACATCTCAAGTATTCCAGAGCGCATGCTTCAGAACAAGTACTTAAGTAAGTATACAGGATGTTAAATGCGTGGTTAAGCCCAGGGCGTTAAGTATACGGGATGATTAGGACGTAGTTAAGCCCAGGGTGTTCCAAAATATATGTATAATAACGTATACAGGTTGGTTAGGGCGAGGGATCCATGGCGGATGCTTCAGAATAAGTGTTCAAGTATACAGGGTGATTAGGACGCAGTTAGGCCCAGGGAGTATGCTTCAGAATAAGTGCTCAAGCACACAGGGTGCTCAGGGCGTGGTTAGGCCCAGGGCGTATGCTTCAGAATAAGTGCTCAAGTACTCAGTACAAGGCGTTAAGTATACAGGGTGATTAGGTCGTGTATTTCAAAATAAATGCTCAAATATGTATACAGGATGATTAGGGCGTGATTTGACCCAGGGCGTATGCTTCACAATAAGTATTGAATTATCCAGGATGCTCAGAGCGTGGTCAGGCTTAGGGTATATGCTTCAGAATAAGTGCTAAAGTGTAAAGGAAGTTTTAGGAGTGGTAGGCCCAGGGCGTATTCTTGAGAATTCGTGTTAAAGTTAGTCGAGGGCGACAGCTAATTTTAATATAATGCTACAAAAAGACAAAAAATCTTATTAACTATGTGTTCAACTAGACTATGTTCTACATCTATGACAAAATTCAATAAAATTCATGAAGTTGTTCTGGAGATACATTCTAACAAACATCTAAACATTCGTATTTTTAATATTAGTAAATTTTTCCCTTCAGGTTTCCTTGTCCGATGTGTAACAAAGGTTATCCGACTAAAGAGGCGATGCAGGATCATTTCAACTATCAACATCTCGGCAAGACATCGCATAAATGTCCACTATGTGATAAGGTAAGATGACTACTGCTCCTATATATCTCTTCTTATTCCTTCCACTGGAGTCAGCATTGGTTTTATAAATCTTAAGGTTTTCGATATAAAATTGTATTGTCTGTATGTAATCAAACTGAAACTTTTATATTTATGATATGTTTGCGTTACTTATACACACTGGCTATTTATTTGAAAACTTGCTTAGTTGAGGAATTGCTATTATATAATGGCAGGCGCATTTGCTTGTAAATTCCTTTTGTTAGGAAATTGTTATTATAAAATGGCAGGCGCAATTGCACGTAAATTCCCTTTGTTGATGAATTGCTATTATTATATAGCAGGCGCAATTGCACGTAAATTCTTTTTGTTGACGAATTGCTATTATTATATGGCAGGCGCATTTGCACGTAAATTCCTTTTGTGAAGAATTGCTATTTAAAAATGGTAGACTCATTGGTTCAAATACCTTTAATTGCGGACTTGCTATTAAAAATTGACAGGCGCTTCTATTTAAATTATTTACTTTTCAGCCTATAGCGTCTCGAGCTAACGTAGAGCGCCATTTAATGCGAGTACACGGAGAAAAGAAGGAGAAACCAAAGAACCACGTCTGTCAACAATGTGGGAAAGCATTTACTGTGAGTATAATACTTTACAGAGCGTCAGTGGCTCAGGGGTCAAGCACTTGAATTGTCTCCATGTCACGGGTTCAAATCCCGTCATGTAGCATATGTACATTTATCGTATGTTGTTACGGTGAAGAAAAACATTGTGTTGCTGCACATATCTGAGAAAGTCAAATGTGTGAAGTCTTGTACTGGAACAGCATTCACTATCACATACTCTCACTTAGGGTACACTCTACCCTCAGTGGGGACTTAGAGGTAAAGATAATAATAATAAATATCTTTATTTTTCCAGGACAAGAAATCACTAAATCAACACGAAGTTATCCACTCCGGAGACAGACCGTTGTCTTGTAACATTTGCTATCAAACTTTCAAACAAAAAGCATCACTTTATACTCACAGGAAGCGAGTTCATAATATAACGCCCGCGAAACGAGTCGTCGAATTCATTGACAATGATAAAACGAAGGTAGATGTAAAAACTAATTGAGGGTAGTACAAGAAAAATATGAAGGTTACAAGGAAATCCATCTTACTATTATAAATGCGAATGTATGGATGTTAGAAGATATCTCCAGAACATCTGCATGGATCTTGAAGTGTCAGATGTAGAACGTAATCTGGAAGAACACATAGACTACTTATTAAGTTTTTTTACTCCAAGCAGACGGAGTCGCGGACTACAGCTACTAAGAGATCAAGATTACTTTTTTTTTTAATAAAACCATAAATGTAAGATATAATATTGATAAAAAGACCTTAATTTTTTTTGCTCTACTTATAGGAGGGTTAAATTTTTCGCATATACAGGATGTCCCAAAAGGTTACGTACATAGGAAGGGAGATGATAGGGGTGGTCACAAGGGTCACCAGAAAAATAAAATAAAAATTCCCCTCTGGGTATTAAAAAAAAATAAAGGGCATTTTTTTAAAACTTAAAAATTTTACACCTTCTGGGGCAATTTTGTAACCGATGACCTACAAATATTGCTATATTTAAAAAAAAAGCTATTATGTTATCGTCAATAACCCTTTATCAATATGAAATAAAAAAACAATACAACTAACAAAGATTTTAAAGAAAATTAAAATTGCCATTTATTTTTTTAATACCCAGAGGGGAATTTTTATTTTATTTTTCCGGTGACCCTTGTGACCACCCCTATCATCACCCTTCCTATGTACGTAACCTTTTGGGACATCCTGTATAGCATAACTGAACGTATATACTTTGCCCTCATATCAGTAGTGCAAAAAAAATTCTTGGTTAAGTTTTGTAGATAAACACGAGACAAATGTTTTTTTTTTTAATATTTAGTTTGTTCAAGTTTAGCGCCATCTATGGAGCAAATTAATTATTAACTTATAAAATATATCTTGTTCTATTTAAAAATGTATAAATAATATGTAATTAAGTAAATAAATATATTTAAAAATTATGGCTTTTTATTTTTAGAGATTTAACTCGAATGGAAAAAAACGTAACTTTAACTTTTACTATCAAGAATCTCTTGCCTTGAATTATATTTAAATTTATCTCATCATCATCAGCTCACTATACGTCCCCATCGAGGGGCTCGGAGCCTACTCTAAGTTAAGGGTGACTAGACCATAATCAACCACGCTGGTCAAGTGCGGGTTGACTTCACACATATCTTTGACTTTCTCAGATATGTGCAGCATCACGATGTTTTCCTTCACCGTAAGAACGTCGGATAAATGTACATATGTAAATCGGAAATCCAAAAACACATATAGCGGGATTCGAACCCAGGACCTGCAGATTGCAAGTCAAGTGTTTAACCACTGAGCCACCGACGATCTAAATTTTTGTAGTTAACTTCATAAGACTGCAGCACACAATCTCTTACCCATTCATCATGGTGGCCTTTTTTGTTTAATTATGTTTGGTTTGAAATAATTTTATTGTGAAAATCATTTAGAAGTGTTGTGTTTTTGTTTTTTTTTTAGTGTATTTTATTTATTTTCAACTTATATTAAAACTATTTTTCTTGAGATTTCACTTTTTCGTGTACTTTTTGATGTCCCTTTAATACTTGACTAGTCTGAAATTAAATGTATTAAAAAACAAGTTTCCTTTAAAAAAAACTCAAAAACTACCCAACGATTATAGTAGTTTTTGAGTTTCAATTAACAATTATGAGTCGCATTCATAAACTTACTTTGAAACCAATGCCACATATTTCACACATATAGTCACGTTTTGTGATACCACCAATATGGCGTCTCATATGACACCGCAATGCACGAACACTGCAATACTGTAAAAAAAACTATTTCTCAAAAAAACTGTACTAAGTTTCAACTCTGTGTTGAAAACTTTCAGACCTTTCTCGGACATCTTGTACATTGTAGTCTGTTCTTTTGAAGATGTATCATCTCATTGTGTCTATCTCTTTCTTCACATGTTAAAAATCCTTTGCCGCAAGTGGGACAGCAATAACTGAAAAGACAATTCGTTTTGTTAACATCTTACTAATGCGAATGTTTAGACGTTTGTCAGAATATCTCCGGAATGGCTGAACGGAACTTGATGAAATTTTTAATATAATAAAATACTATATTGTGATAAAATTCAACAAATAGTTTGTTTTTATATGATTAGCATCATTTCATATACTTACTGTAGGTTACTGAGACTTAATACTCCATTTAAAACATATTTTTATCTCTGATTTGTCAAAGATAATAGTGATATGTTTTATACACTATTGATTTTAGAAACCAACGGTTCATTAAAAAATAAACAATAAAACAAATTTCCACATTTTAATCTCTTATTTAAGTTGAACTCTGATTGGTTTGTTAAACCATTGAAATAGGGACGAGCATAGGCTGGATATTAATCTTACTAATATTAAAAATGCGAATGTTTAGATGTTTGTTAGAAGATATCTCCGGAACAGCTGTACAGATCTTGATGAAATTTGTCATACATATAGAACATAGTCTGCAAGAACACATAGACTACTTATTAAGTTTTTATTTCCGGGACGAAGTTATGGGGTACAGTTAATTTAAAATGTAACTCACCGTAATAATTGTGGATCTATATGTCTTGATGAAATACGTATATGTTTGTTATAACTACAACTTGTTTTAAAGAATTTATCACACGGCTGACAATAGTGCCTGAAACTGAAAGACGGACCTCATTGACCATACGGACCATATTATATACCTATCTGAATATCTGTGCCCACGATACAGGCATTGCCTAGTGTGGGCATCACCACATCATCCAAATTAACCATAAATGCTAACTTAAGTCGAATTTAATTTCTTAGTTATGTGCAATTTTATTATGTTAGTTATTGTTTCTTGGTTTAATCTGTATTACCTATAATAAAAACTTTTCTTTCTTTCTTTCTTTCATTGAGAACACAAATCTGTCTATCTTACTCTATGTGGTGACTATATTAAGATTTTTTTTGTAAATTTTAACAATGTAAGTGTAACTTGTCTTGCTAATATTATAAATGTTAATGTTTTGATGGATGTTAGAAGTTATCTCCATACCTGTTGCATGCATCTCGGTGAAATTTGTCATAGATGTAGAACATACACACTACAATCCCTAAAATGTGTACATATCCCTTGGGATATATAAAAAAACTCTGCAATGATTCAAAACATCTTAATGAAATTTGGTACACTTTTCAACCCTTTCCTTTTTAAATTCACCACACCACCTGAAATCGCTGAAATAGCGAAGTGACCGTTGCCCATAGACATTTGCATATGCGGGCAAAACTAGTACTTAGTTATGTGAAGAAGTGTTTAACCAGTATTATTTTTTAACTTGGAGGAAAACAGTTTGTCTATGGCTTATAATAATGATTGGAATCTGGTATAGTATTTAGTGTACTTACATATTATCTGTAGGAGTTGTTGAATGTACTATAGTATTGTGGGTAGACAGAGAACTGCGGCTAGAGAAGTCTCTATTACACTCTAAACATTTAACTCTACCTCTGTGCTTCTGTCTATGGTATTCATATTTACCTCGGCTTCTAAAATTTTATATGTATTAAATTAAAAAAAAAACATACTAATATTGTCTATATGACTTGGATATAGTGTAGGTTCATAACATTTTTTCTTTTCATAATAATTTGTCAAACCAGTTAAGTACATTTGGAGCCTGTTTTATACAAAGACAATCAAAGGATTATAGATTATATTATGGATGGATGGATGGATGGATGGATGGATGGATGGATGGATGGATGGATGGATGGATGGATGGATGGATGGATGGATGGATGGATGGATGGATGGATGGATGGATGGATGGATGGATGGATGGATGGATGGATGGATGGATGGATGGATGGATGGATGGAAGAAGAAGAAGAAGAAGAAGAAGAAGAAGAAGAAGAAGAAGAAGAAGAATAATAATAATGAAATTGTAGTAGCACGGAATTAAAATGTAAATCTATGAATTATGTCTTATTATTTTATAGTCAGGTAAAAACTTACTCAAACTTTTCCTTACATTCACTGCAACTATATTCTTTGTTTGATATTACTTTCTTTTGACTTCTTACTTTCTTCTTTTTTCTACTCTTAACTATACTCTTTGACTTCTTAACAGATTTATTGTCTTTGACCAAAGTATTTTTGGACAAACCTAAATCAATACCTTTGCCTTCTGTGTTATTTTTTAATTCAGTGTTGCCAGATAATTTTGATTCTATATTTTTGGTAAATTTATTTTCTTCAATAAAATGATCACCAAGTGAAAATGTAAATATGTAACAAGTACCCAAATTGGAACTGCTTTGGAGCATAGGTGGATTATTAACCTTAAAATAATAAAAGGTTTAAAAGCAATTTTTTCTTAGTGACATAAAATCTATTTTATTGAATTTAAATTTAATAAATTCATTTTGGTGTCCTAGTACTAATATATATAGAAATCAGCTGGATATAACTGCTTGAAAATAGCTTTTGGGTTGTTGTGACTTTATTCCTGCTACCATCACCGACCAAATCAAATAGGTACAAGACAGTTTAAAGCCTATCCAGTGAAAGAGATGTCAGTGGTGTTCACCCAAACACGCATGAGCAAGAAAAATTACTAAATACTATATAATGTTTACAATAATTCCATCTAACTATGAAATAATCAATATACTATTTATGCTTACTTAGTGGGTAGCTTTTAACCATATCTCGAGTTTAAAAATTTAAGTTATTTCTAATTAAAATTACATTGAATAATACAGTTTCTTACCTTAAAATGTATATCCAATATCTGTTTCGAGTTCAATGCTCTTTTTCTTAATTTTAATAAATGTTTCAAACTTGCTAAACACTCCCAACATAATTTCGATACTTCAATTTCTGGTAGTATCATTCTCATTATTCCCGCCAATGGTGTCGATATAAAAAACAATTTACGATCGTTACTTAAACATATTAAGCAAAGAGTTTCCATATTTATTTTAAATTTAGTTCATTTAAGCAATTTCACGAAACCGACCTTGACAATTCAAATAAAATATCAATGTCATGTGTCAAGGTCAAATAATGTTGCCAGAAATATAAAAATAAAATAGTTGCCATGCTGATGATTAAATTCCTTTCAACGCAAAATAGAAATCAAAAGATACAATCGACGTATCTACAAAATAGGTATAATTTAATCCGAAATATTATTATTATTATTATAAATGCGAATGTTTAGATGGATGTATGCTTGAAGGTATCTCCATAACGGCTTAATGGATCTCGATGAAATTTAGCATATAAATCGAACAGTCTGGAAGAATACATAGGCTTTAAATCCTGCGCGAAAGTCGGGCGCCACCACTAGTAGATACCACACAACTACTTACCACAAATTGAACACTGCACAAACATTCCCAGCAAATTGAAGATTAGATAAAGGTTCCAGTTTGTACTAAAGGTATTAAAAAAACAACTCAAAGTAAAAAATAACTTTAATGAATCGTAACAAATGCTGTAAAACCTGTGTATGTTACATACTATTGTTAAAATCACCGCATATTTTTACCTTAAATCTACGAAGGCACTTAAGTTATTGCTTTGAACACAATTATTGAAGCATATGGTCAATTGGACCATATCGAAAAGTTATACAAAATATTGGATGATTTTTAAGGCGTTTTTTTTAATAAATGCTGCTAATAAACATACTATTACTTTAGCAAAATTATTCCACTATTTTGAATGAATATAAAGAAAATTACAATTTAAGAATACCCTATATTTAATGTGTTTTGTTATAACCTATAAAGTTATTTGAACATTTTTTTTGTACATTGAAAAATTATTGCAAACTATATAATACATTTAAAATGCGTTTATTAAAAGTGTTTATCATAAATTATACTATTTCAGATATAACTTACATATAATTAATTTATATAAGACCAAAAAATCTATTGGCTTAAGACAAATTTATTGAGAGAATAGTTTTTGTATAAAAATATTTTTTAAAGTTAATAGCGACCCAAATTGTAAGACAGTTCGTCGTAACATAACTAAAATTACTTATTTATTAATCACATTTCAAATGCTTGACATAAATTAGTGACATGGTTAGCACCCATAAATATTTCGCGCGCAACTACCAGAGTGATATTAACGCGAATAACTGCTATACACCGACAAGGATATCTGACCCGGTGGGCATAAGTCAAACTATATTATTACAACTTACTAACGCCATCCTGTCAATGTCAAGATCCTCTTAGTAATGCAACTGTCTTGTCAAGAATCTTGTCGTATATTGTCGTTGATTTACGAGCGATTAAATTTGTGTTTGGACCTGCCCATCAGATCAGATGAGTTTATATGAAAAATACTATTTATACTGAAATATGTAAATATCACTTTAAATTTGTACATAAGATTTAAAAAAATTATATCTAAGCTAATTATAAACACAGTAAAAACTCCTTGGTCAAATTATAACATGGCCAAAAGACTGCTATCCAACTACTGTATAATTTTAAGACGCCAAATCCTTATAAAAAATCATATAAATATAGAAGTAAATGTCTTAATTTTCTATTTATTACCAATAGAAAACAAATACAAAACTTGCTTAACATTTTCATTACTTCATTAAAATACCAGCCATAACATATAAAATAGAATTATCGACTTTGTTAATCTATGACCCTGCCATTGTTTACTCTATGACAATTAATAGGAGTTTTTACAGACCATTACAAATTGTGAAGATCACATTACATGCAAAAATGACCTATATTTAGGTAAAACCAGACTCTTAAGGATTTACTATCGTAAAATATTATCTGTGTTTCTTTCAAAGTGTATGAAAAAGATGACAAATATAGTTTCATGTTTTACAATTTGGACAATTCTTAACTTTCGATTCTAACTGTGCTAATTGTCTTTGTAAATGCATTATTGTCGCATCCTTTTGTTTTAATTGAACTTTTAAATTTGTTATCGAGTCTTCCAACGCACCATAAACTGCTTGAATTTCAGGCTGATATGTAAATACTTGAGGCGGTTCATCTAAACAGAAAAATTCCCTAACAACAGGATGATTTGGTAATTTCAAAAGTATAGCATTCACAAACACTTGTAAACCTCTAACACGTTCCTCTAAGAAAGCCGGTTCAAAATTATCACGAAACCATCTTTTGCCGGGCAAAGGTAACATAACATTTGGTAATTCCGATTTAATTCTTGTATACAAACGTACGAAATCTGTATACCTACGGAAAACTAACCAAGATTGATCCCTTTTATCGTCTTCTACTTTTAATTTGTAAATTGTAAACCTAGCCCTTTCCTCCATAACTTCATAACCTACAATAGGTATTTGTAACGATTCAAATTTTTTAATTTCCTCGCTGTGTAAACTTATATCTATATTACTAATACTATTTTGTACATTTCTATTGAAATCCCTTGAATAATTCTCATTTATATTGACCATAGATTTATAATGATTGCGTTGTATATTTTTTTTTCGCTCTGTTACTTCATTATCTGATGTTGATTCTTTATATCTAGCTTTATAGAAATTATTGAACTGCACTATGGCATTTGTTTGACAATCCTCACTAGATGTAGACGACACTTCATTGTTCATACTGTCTCGCTCTATCATAGGTATTGTTCTGTTATTGTCCAAACTTTGTACAGTAGCCATTATTCCTGGAAAACAGAGAAATATCATCAACCATAAACCATAGACAAACTTAAATACTTACTAATATTATAAATGCTAAAGTAACTCTGTCTGTCTGTATGTCTCGCTTTCACGCAAAAACTACTGAACAGATTTAAATGAAATTTGGTACACAGATAGTCCAGAGTCTAAGAAAGGATATAGGCTAATTTAGGTCGAAAAAGGGTTGTAAAGGTTGAAAAGTTGGGGTTGATATTTGTATGGCTGTATCTTTATTTTAACAGTTAGAAGGAGCACGCTGTCACCCGCGACTCCGTCCGCGCGGAACGAAAGAAAACTTAATTAGTAATCTATGTGTTGTTCCAGACTATGACCAGACCTGACCTTCAAACATCCATACATCTAAACATTCGCATTTATAATATTAGTAAGATTGTCCATCTTGTAACCGATCTTTCGTATCCGATAAGAATGTTTTCATACACACCAAACATAAACAAATAGAAATAATTTACTCCAAAATACAATTTAAATTAAAGTAGCTTTAGACACCGGATATAAATGTTACATGTAAATATTTACACAATACACTTAAATAAATCGATAAAGATATAGATTTTCTTACGTGAATTTGCCAAAACAGAATTCTCATATGAAAACATTAAGACAAAAACAGGTTTCAATATTGAACTGGAATCATTTAATTTCAGAATACTAAAATAACGTTTTAGGTCCTAATTGAAAGAAACGGAATGTCCCCGGTTTATTCACGTCAAGGTCGTGAGGACAAATTTGTAAGCAAATTGAATTTAAATTTGTTAAAGCCTTGACATATTCGATATACTAATTTTACTATATATTAGTAAATGCGAATGTTTGGATGAATGTATGGATGTTTGTAAGACATTTCAATGAGATTAGTCATATATATAGAACATAGTCTGGAAGAACTACTTAGAGGCTACTAATTAAGTTTTTATTTTTAGATTCCGCGCAGACGGAGTCGGTGGCGACAGCTAGTGTTACTAATATTATAAATGTGAATTTTTAGATGCATGGGTGGATGTTTGTTTGATGGTATCTCCGGAACGGCTGAGCGGATCGCGATGAAATTTGGCATACATATAGAACACTAGATGCCGCCCGCGACTCCGTCCGCGCGGAATTAAAAAAAATATTGTTCGCAGCGTAATGTTATACAGCCTAAAGTCTTCCTTCTTCTTCTTATAAATGGACTATCCAACAAAAAAAGAATTTTTCAAATATGAGCAGTAGGTCCTAAGATAAGCGCGTTTAAACAAACTCTTCCGCTTTATAAAATTACTAAGTATGTTTTTATTTGTAAATTTCGCGCAGACGCAGTCGCGGGCGACAGCTATTCTTTTATAAATGTCTTATAATGTAACTGTTTTAGTCCGATGGGTTCAAATATTAATGACAAAAATCGTACTGTGCAAAATCGGGGCGCATCACTAGTCTATATTCTGAACCAAATTTAAACAAGTTCGTTGACTTCTATTTACCGCTGTAACTGTATAAAAGTGCTAATAAAAACTTCTAATTGTTCCATCTCGTAAAATGACGTAGTCACAAAAAAGTACTTACAAAAAATGAAAATTATTCCGCCTTTTTCAACAAAAAATACAACAAAGTAATGTAGGAATCGATATTTTTATTATATTATCGTTTAAATAACGATTAATTCGGTAAATACGACAAGTAAAATCAATGTCAAACATCATCATGAGCTCACTGTACGTCTCCAATGAGGACCTACCCTAAATCAGTGATTAAGCCATAGTCAACCACGCTGGCCAAGTGCGGATTGACTTCACACATATCTTTGAATGCGCAAATATGTGCTGTATCACGATGTTTCCCTTCACCGTAACAACGTCGGATAAATGAACATATATAGACCAAAAAAATGGTACATGACGTGATTTGAACCCAGGACCTGTAGATTACAAGTGCTTAGAGTTACTGACACTAATGTCAATAGATTTTATAAATCATCCTTCTCTCTCATCATCAGCTCACTATATGTCCCCACTGAGGGGCTCGGACTACCCTAAGTTAGGGGTGACTAGGCCATAGTCAACCACACTGACCAAGTGCGGGACTTCACACATATCTTTCAATTTCTTCACAAATATGTGCACATTGTTTTCCTTCATCGTAAAAAACCCATTACTAACAAGATGCTTACATTCAAAATACAAGACTGTACTAATTAACAAGCACTTAAAAGAATCATCATAATGAGTTAAAAGCAAGTATTTCTACGATATTTAATTACATATACAGTTAATATAATATGGAGAAAGTAGTGCGCAAGAGAAAAGTAAAAGATAAATGCTTTTGTTAGTAACATGGCGAATGGAAATCTGTAGTTGCTACCTAAGTCACAGGTTACGAGATTCACTCATGTTGTATAAAATACTAGCTGTAGCACTCGACTCTGTTCACACGCAATTAAAAGACCTTAATAAGTAGCCTATGTGTTCTTCCAGAATATTCTACATCTGTACTTAATTTTATTAAGATCAATTGAGATATTCCGGAGATACCTTCTAACAAACTTATCCATCAAAAATTCGCATTAATAATATTAGAAAGATTTGGGATGGGGTACAAGACCAGACACACCTTCGTCTACCTGCAGTAGGCTCTCTTTCAAACACATATGCTTGCAATTTACTATGTTTAGTTATCATACTAATATTATTAATGCGAATGTTTGGGTGGATGTTTCTTTGAAGGCATCTCCAGAACAGCTGAACAAATCTTGATGTAATTTAGTATACATATAGAAAATTATCTGGAAGAACTTAGTACTTTTTGTAATTCCGCGCTGACAGAGTCGCAAGCGACAGCTAATTGCTTCCACAAAATTGTAATATACACAGCAATGAAATGGTTTCATGTTCATGACATTATAAACAATGAATAATTTCAATGTCAAGTAAAACACGAAATAAAAATAAACTTAAAGAGTGCTAAATTTTTATCATTAGTTACTTAAAACTATCAAATCAAAAACTAACACATCCATAACAAAAAGGGCATAGTTAGATATTACAGATTCTCATTTGGCACAGTCCTGGCCACACATCTCTTGACATCTCTTACTTCTTACTAATATTATAAATGCGAACATTTAGATGGATTGATGGATGTTTGTTTGAAAGTGTCTCCGGAATGACTGAATGGATCTTGCTAAAATTTGACATAGGTGTAGAACACAGTCACACAAAGCTACTAATTAAGTTTATTTTTGATTCCGCACGGACGGAGTCACAGGCGACAGCTGGTACAAACAATAACAAAAGAATTGAGAAATTGAATAATTGTTTACTGAAACATTCATTTCAAAATAAACAACAATATTAGTGATGAAGAAAAAAATTAAACAAACAACAAAGCCTGTGAGTAAGTATGGTGGACAGATATTGTTTATTTTCTTCACAAAAGGCTGAACAAGACTTCCAGATCAATCTAACTTCTACAAGTTTTTTTTATATATCATAAGGTGGCAAATGAGCAAGTGGTCACCTGAAATCGCTGAAATAGCAAAGTGACCATTGCCTATAGACATATGCAATTGCATATGCATTGCCTACCTTTAATCGACAGAGAAGAGGATGTACAGAAAGAAAATATCTTCCCTTTCCATGCATCCTCTCATCCCAAAAGTCCACTTCCACTTCCCATCCTTACCTTATAAGAAAAAGGGTGGGATTGGAAAGAGGGCTAAATTAGGCCTTCGGGACGCACACACATTAGACAAAATGCGAAATTGCTTCCACTTGACGTCTGTCTTCTGTGAAGTGGTATTTCACCGGGTGAGCCAGGCCAAAAACTTTATTCAATCTCTACTTAATACCTTTCATGCAAACCCACAACTGCTAGCTACTTACTATTATTGAATCTGAATATTTCATACAATTTGAGAAGACGCGGAAACAATAACCAATAAGATGCAGCTTTTAAATGTGTTTGTACAAAAATAAATCAGACTGTGATACACAACTATTTGCTTTTTATTATTATTCTGTTATTTACTCATTGGTACCTAACTAGTTAATTGTAAGATTGTCTCATAACATGGAATAAGGCAATAATCTGCAAGTGGAATACCGCGAAGGTCTCTGACTGTACATTTATATAAAAATATATTGCATTTAAATTTAATCGTAAATTTGCCTATCGCAGTAACACTGTTTTCAAAAAGATCTCCAGGTGTTTCAATAGAAACCTACGATTATAAGTCTTTTTTATGTATATTCAACTGACTATATAATTTTATTAACGTATTTTTTATGTTTACTTTTTTAGATTTGAATTTGCGTGTTATAGTCCATTAGTAAGATAAAGTACTTACTTGAATAAATTATATCTCTTGTGTGATATCACTGCGCAGTATATGGTTCAAGTTTGGCACATTTTAATTCATTACTCCACAATAGTTCGTATTCGACAAAAGACATTTCCACAATAGAATGATTGCGATATGACGTCAGCGTTTCAATATCGAATTTATGTAAACTTGTATTTTGTAAATTATCAAATATCCTTGGAGATAACGAATATAGCAATAAGGAATTGAAATATGTTTTATTATAGAAAGACAAACTTTTATTACAACGCCAAGACGACGCTTTGCAAAAACTTATGACACATAATAAATAAAGAAAATGAAAATAGATGATGGAGTTGCCAGTTGCCATCTCTAAATCAATCGATTTTATCAAATCGATTTAAAAGTTCTTGTTGTTCTGTTGTTCATGTGGATTTATTTCATTTAACAATAAAATTGTTTTCACTGTTTCACAGCAAAATGCGGTTAAAATCATCAGTTTATTTAATAATTAAAATTTCATTTTCTTTTTGGATTTCACCTCTTTGGTGATTTTTTGATAAATGACATATGTCAATGTCAGATCGGAGCCAAATCAAAACAAACGATTCGTTTTACATTTCTAAGAATATAATTATTAGCTTCTTTTCGTCTTTAGTGCACATATTCTTAATTCTTCGATAAAAACATCATGAAACATTGTCTTGTAATGTATTGAGTCCCAATGTAAGAGGATAGCTTGCTATACTTTTTGATGAGATTGAATGATGACTGAACTGGAATTATCAAATTTAGTAACAATAAAATGCAAACAGCAAGTAATACGCGCAGTGCGCTTTAACATTGATGGTTCTTACTGCTTAACATGTGGGGCTGACAAGAAAATAAAACTATGGAATCCACATCGTCAATTACTTTTAAAAACTTACGGAGGACATGCGAATGAGGTTTTAGATGCTGCAGGTTCGTGTGATAGCAGTCATATTATCTCTTGCAGTAGTGATAAGTCTGTTATACTATGGGATGTGGCTACTGGCCAGCCTGTACGCAGATATCGTGGTCATGCCAGCTCCGTAACATGTGTTAAATTCAATGAAGAGTCAACTATGGTTGTTTCTGGCTCCGTTGATAATACCGTTGCCTTTTGGGATGTTGTTAGCAGAAGACAAGAGCCTGTACAAGTGTTAAAAGATGCTAAAGATACAATAACATCTATACAAGTTACGAATAATGAAATATTAACATGTTCCGTAGATTGTCATGTACGTTTGTATGATATACGTGTTGGTAAGATGATATCGGATTATATTGGACAAATAGTAACTTTTGGTAGTATAACACATGATGGACAATGCTACGTACTGAGCTGTGCGGACAGTACAATTAAGTTATTTGATAAAGATTCCGGAGAACTATTGAATACTTTCACCGGTCATGAAAGTAAAGATTACCTTTTAGAAAATGCTATTAACGAGAAAGACAGTATAATAATATCAGGATCAGCAAGTGGAGAGATATTTTATTACGATTTAATAAGTAGTAAATGTATTAAGAAATTATTACATAACCTTAATAAACCTGTTATTTCTATCAGTCATCATCCTACTGATAGTTATTTATTAAGCGCTTCTGAAGATGAAATAAAACTCTGGGGGACATCACCAATGGAAGAATAAATAACATAACATAATCTTTGATGTTTTATTTATTTAGATATTTAAATTGTTATATTCTTCAAATGACATGGGTTATGGCGGTTCAAGGTCATTGTTAAGTATTTTTTTTAAGTTGTTCGCGGAGGGACTCACGGACGTTACCTTGTGCTTTATAATTTGGTGTTAGTGTTGCCATCTTACATGTTAAAAGCCTAAAATAATGAAACGGGCCATTCACCGCAAATTATAACATCCCCTTCTACGCCTGTTTTCAACAATGTGAAATGTCAAATTTTCTACAACAACAACTTATTTCTAATTTATTATTTCTGTAACATAACCGATGAACAAAACTAATTGTTGCCGCAACTCCTATACAAAATGGCAGCCAATTACGGTTAGTCGTTAAGTGGTAAAATATTTAAGGAATTTGAGATATAACTCGGCTTAACATGAATAGTAGCAGCAAATGTAGCAGCGTTTTACTGTCGTGTTATAAAGATTACCACGGAACCACTCACTGTAATAAAAATTACAGGAAAACATTGCTTAAAAATAACATTATCAAATATAGGGTATGATGGAGCAATATTCTTTAAATAACTTTGGACTGTTACTAAAAACTTAAATAAGTAGGTAGGTGTTGTGGGAGATGAAAAGTTACTAATCTAAATGGAATGGCTAAAATATTCAATGAGAACAGATGTAAGTTTTCATCAGACATAAAATTATAGCAGTAATGCATACTTTCTAAACGCAACATATTTTGCGTTGTTCAACTGTCCGATAGCAAGTTGCAAACGATTCTAAAATCGATTGTACAAGAATCGTAACAATCGATTTTAGAATCGTTAAGGTATCTTACTTATTGTTAACGATGCTTATGCACAAAATACTATAAAATTTACTTAAAAGGAAAGGATGAAGAGTGAAACGCGAAGAGAAGAGGTTTGAATTTAATCCTCTATCACACATCTAACATAAAAGGAATAAACTATATTTTACTTTTTGAACAAGCCCGTGTAAATCTTTTCTATCAATTGAATTCTTTACTTTTCATTAAATAAAGTTTTACCTTCGAATAATTGGATAGACTAGTGAAAAAGAAAGTACTCTTAAAATCGATTTAAAAAATCGATTTTGTAAACTGTCCATCCTTATCCCATGGAACCGAATTAAAAAATTGAATTCTCAAATTCCGACAGGCGTCACTCGATCGTTTTACATTTACTACTAATAGTAGTCAAAACAATATAAATATACATCTTAAAAGTTAAATGCTAACTAGAAAATGGGTACTCGATCATCAGCCAAAATTAAACTACGTAGTCTTGCGTTCAAATGCAATATTTGTGGTCGCAGATTAATGAGTGCGGAAGCCCTCAAAACTCATCAATTGTGCATTCACAATATAACAAATAGAATAAGAACAAAAGTAACACCTAAACAGGGCATTACTAAACCTAAAACTCAGCCAACAACACAGAAAATGAAGAATTTAAAACTTGAAAAGTCAAAAAATGCACCAACTAAGATTGTAGTGAACACTAAACCAGAGGATAAAATTGAAGAGAAAGTACCAAAACGTGGAACTAAAAGTATTGAAACTACAAACGAATATGAATGTCCGAAATGTTTTAAGAATTATCCTGATTATTTCCTAGCTCATAGACATATACAAAAGTATCATTGTGTTAACAATAATAATGAAAAAGTGTAAGTAATTCCTTTAATAATAACATTTTTTAACAAATTTATAAATTGGAAACTAAATTTTAGAGGTTATGTTATCAAATCTATTCAAAAAATTCCAATTAGTTTAGTGTTTATCCCATTATAAAAGTATCAATAGAATGCTTATAAAACTATAGTTCATAGTATATTTAATTGATAAATGCAATAAAAACGATATTCATTCTTTTCTATCTATCTACTCAGCCATGAGACGCCCACTGCTGGGCATAGGCCTCCCCCAAAGATCGCCACGATGACCGATCTTGTGCCACCCGCATCCAGGACGCTCGCGCAACCTTGACCAGGTCATCGGTCCGGTTCATTCTTTTACATGTGTAGTATCTGAATACTCTTTAATACAGTCTCTATCAACTGTTATTGTGCATATTCTTTTTTACTATATAAAATAACTAGCTGTTTTCCAGCTAGTTATTAACTTATTTAGTAGCCTATATGTCCTTCAAAATATGCTCTACATCTATGCCAAATATCAATAAGATTCATAAAGCTGTTTTGGAGATATCTTCTTCCAAACATCCATCTAAACGATCACATCTTACTAATATTATAAATGTGAATGTTTCAATGGATATTTTTAGAAGGTATCTCCAAAACGGCTACATGGATCTTGCTGAAAATTGGCATAGTTTGGAAGGACACATATTTTAATAATTAAGTCTTGTTTTCGGATGGAGTCATGTGCGTCAACTATTACAAAAGTACCAACTATATATATTTTTATTTGTATTGTTTCAGGTCTGCTAATTCACCGGACCTAATAAAGCCTAACATAATGTTGGTTTGTAGTAGATGTAACCGAAGACCGAAGTCACTAGACACACATAAATGTACATCATTTAAATATGATCAGATTGAAAACGCTGCTTCGTATTTATGTATGGCTTGTAATGAAGAATTCCAAAGTTTGAGGTTATTCGACCTTCATGTGTCGGGATTACACTGTGATGGAGTTGAGAGTATGTTCTTTCCAACAAATGAAGGTATGTTCATAAAAACTATTATATAATATTAACAGTGGTAGTGAAATACCACGACCACACAGAAGACAGGCGTGAAGTGGAAGCAATTCCACCTACAGTCTGATGAGTGTGCGTCCCGGAGGCCTTATTTAGTCCACTTTCCCTCCCCACACATTTTCTTATAAGGAAAGGTTGGGAGGTGGAAGTGGAATTATCGGAATTGCTTCCACTTGAGGCGTGTCTTCTGTGTGGTCGTGGTGTTTCACTGGGCGAGCCGGGACAGTTCGTGCGATGATGTTTAAGCGGGCTCTACCACTTTTAACAACAAATCTTATTTTCAGTATTCCAAACATGGAAAGAAGATGTAGTTAAACAGACAGGAATAAATTATTACGTACTTGGTAATTACAGTTACAAACAAATGTTCCGATGTCCGTGTATCCCAGATGATAATGTTAATAGTGATATAATACCTTATTTATGTCCATCAAGTATTGTAGTACAGGAGCTATCGAAAGGAATTCAAGTTCATTATTATATGAAACATTACAGTCATGCTTGTGGTATATACGTTTTACCCGATGAATTTAAAAAATATATGTTTTCAACGCTCCTACAGAACGAAGAGGCATATACAGAAATTGATATTAAAGCAAATGGAACGGAGATATATCAACAATTTAAACAATTGATGGATTGTATTGTGCAGGATGCTGCGAATGTTAAAATAGATTCGCTGAAAATATTACTAACTAAAGCTTTAGATATGACAACGGTGTTGAGTAATGAAGTTGAAACGGACAGTGCATTTATGTCAATGAAATTGATAATAGACAATAATATTATTGGATTATTAAATTCAAATCAACATGTTAAAAGGAAGAATGTGTTGAATGAAAAAAAAAATGAACCTATAACGAAAAGATTTAAAACGAGGACATATCAAAATAAAGACTGTAAAGAAAGTTTGGATGATGCGTCTATAAAGATTGTTAATTCATTCTCTTTAGCCGAACATGAAATTGTAAATGCAATCAATGAAGATAATGAAACTATAGGTGCACCGGAAAATAATACAACGGATTCACAATCCAGTTCAGATAAAGAGAAAGATGATATTAAAGTTAATAAGAAATTGGACCAATCATCGTCTTCCTTCGCTGATTCTTATAAGGTGTTTGTCAAACAATTATCAGAACCAGGTCCGCCTTTACGTAAGAGAAAATTTAGTACGACTAAAAATAAATGTGAAAGTCTTACTAAAGAAGCAAATGTTGAAGAAGAAATTAATGTAACATCTGATATGAAACAAAAAGATGTCCCAATAATACCAAAAGATTATAAATATGAAATAAAAGAACAAGAAAATGACTGTAATATACTGATACTTAAAATATAAAAAAAAACGGTAATAAAATATATATAGGTATGCAAACTTTATGGTGGTTCACAATATTGCGTCGCGCAACACAATTTTACTATGGATTTCTGTAGACACTAAATTAACACATAGATTTTGTCTTTGAAAAAAAAACAAAGACATGTCACTGACCTCTTTAAATAGACGTGCTATAAACTTAAGGATTTTGTGCTTGTTTGATTTTCGCCATTTTGACGCTGACGGTTGCGATTGCGGTGGCGAGGATTCGGATTAATTATCAGCAAACTCATCAGACGCAAGACGGAAGCAAGAGCTTATCCATTTATAGAGATTGGTGTAAAAAGCAATAACAGTATACAATTAACCTACAATATTGCCATCTCGTTCATTTTCTTTGTGTAAAACAGAGATAGTAATAGGTTGTATAGAGTAACAAAGCTTTTAGTTGACTCCGCCATAAAGTTTGAATCTTGTAATACTTTTATGTTACAAACGGTTAATCAAAACTTACGGAATTGTGGTTTCTTTTATACAAATAAGTTTATTGTTTTTTTTTTATTTTTTTTCTGTATACCATAGATTAATTGTCATTCTGATTAAAATGCTTAAAGTGATATTAAATTTTTGTTGACTACGAAATACATTTTCTTGGCGGAAGACTTTTTACACTTTCCTATCGTAGTTTTGAATAAAATCAAATCCATTTGCAATATTTTAAATTATGTTTCAATTTAATCATGTCGGTATTTTAATCAGAACATCATTTTTTGATATTTCACGTACTGTATATTGTTAGTTTGTATGGTTAGATGTAATAATAAAAAGTTGTAAATTTTAAGGAAGTTTTATTGCACAAAGTAACTGTCGCTCGCGACTCCATCCGTGTAAAACGAAAGAAACTTAATAAGTAGTCTATGAGTTCTTCCAGACTATGTTCTACATCTATGTAAAGTTTCAATGATATTTATTGAGCTATTCAATCCGTACATCCAAATATTCGTATTTATAATATTAGTAAAACATCGTAATTGATAAAAGCATTACAACTAGTTTGTCTAATACAAAATATCAACGAGTAGAAGGACAATTGGTTTGGATGTTACATAACACTTGCATACATAATAAGTATTTTCATAAAAAGTTTTTAATTCTTACAGTATTATTATGTTCAACGATCGAACAAAAGCCGCCATTTTAGTAGAAAAAAAATATTTTATTTTTTTAAACTACAGACAATGTAAAATTTGTCTGAACTTTTGTAGTCTCATAATCTTTGACTCTTGTCATCTTTGTAAATGTCAAAACATCAATTTTGAATTTGAAATAAACCAAAACATAACGGTTTTGATGTTTTTGTTTTGCAATACTTATATTCGTTTAAATTATATTAATTTCAGATTAGGATATAATAGAAAACATGAGTAACGCCACCAAAATGCGTAAGTACAATTTGTATTTCGTAAATTAGTTTTTAAAAAAATGTGATAACTATGTTTTTACAAATGTTTTATCGCAAACCCATAAAAGTAAAGAGAGAAAAGTGATAGAGATTGAAAGAAATCTGAACAGTCTTTTGTGCCTTCAAGAAAAGTGCGTACTGCCTAACCGTCAACGCATTTGTTATGTTGTTTGCGTCCAAAGTCGTCTGATGAATTAATATTATGCTTGTACAATACGTTCAACTGTTCGGGAGATAACTTCAAGCAAACATGCATCCAACTAAACATTCACATTTATGTAAGATTGTCTTTTTCTAGAACTGGATGAATTAGAAAGGCTGATGAGTAGAATGCCAAGAGAGCTCTGCTGTACAACATTACTACCGGAATTCGGTGTACGTTGGCGTGACATGGCTAAAGCAATACGAAGTGCCCGTATGTCAATGACATCAGCAAGTATTGCAAGAATTGTATGCAGGAAGGTAGCTAAGAATCTACCTGCGTTAACTGTTGATGAGATTATAGCTAAATTGAGGTTGCAGAGTAAGTAAATGCTTTTTTAAATTATGTAATAACGTATCTGTCGACCGCGACTCTGTCCGCGCGTTAACTTACTAAGTAGCCTGTGTTCAGACTATGTTCTACATATATGTGAAATTGCATCAAGATCCGTTCAGTTGTTCCAGAGATACCTTCTAACAAACATACATCTAAATATTTCCATTTAAAATATTAGTCAGATATCACCACCAATGTTTGGGGGAGGCCTATGCCCAGCAGTGGGCGATTATGGCTGAGAAAGAAGAAGAAGATACACAGACAATATTATTGACCTTTCCAATTACTAAAATGACTAAATAGTAATGCCATAAAAGATATCATTTTATTCATCAGAGAATTTGAAATATAAATTAGTAGAGACAAGAAATATGCTAATTAATTTGATAATTAATAACTTTTGCAGTGACTTTAGGGTCTAATACACAAAGCCCCCCCTTTTTTCCCCAGAAAGGAATGCTTTATGCATACTCCGCGACCCGGGGGGACGCGGTAGTTATGTTGCATTCTCCTCCATAGCAGAGGCATACCCACTTAACCTCTCTGTTCCTCCAACGCATCGGGACGGGACCACGGGCACGCTTTTGCTCTCGTCCGCGGCCCAAGCCCCAGACCCCTGGTTACCTTTTATAAAAAAAATCTAACACCAGTTTAATAGCACTTTGGTTAAATTCACATTAAAATTTGTACAATGCAAATACTAATACTTTAGTGTTTAAGTTAAAAGACCCATGTAACTCACAAGAGGTTTTTTAACTTTTGTAAATACTAATTAGTAACTTTCTATCTTAATTTTAGCATAATCTGGATGACCGACCTTTGCTCAGTATTTTGTTTTTTAAATTGTGTTTTTTGGAAATTATATTTAAGTACGAATTACTATTAAAACGATGAAATATGAATAATATTTTTCGATCTTACCGATAGAAAAAGTTAAGTTTACGTTTAAGTTGATTGTCGACAAAACACGAATAAAATGACATTATCTAAAAATGATTCCTAGCTAGATAGATTTATCGCCCCCGAAACCCTCTATATACTAAATTTTATGAAAATCGTTGGAGCCGATTCCGAGATTCCAATTATATATATATACAAGAATTGCTCATTTAAAGATATAAGATATTTATTCATGTTTTTTTATACTTCCAGTGGTGGCAATACAGAGTCGCATTTGGCATGTGATTAATCTACAAGAACCTGTAGGTGATTCATGGGAACCAGATGAATTGCCCGAGAGGCTAGTTGACGCGCTGACGACTGCACGCGTCGGTAAGAATAAGAGCCCAGAGGTATGTTTCATGTAGTTTACTTTAAAAACTTTATTTTTAAACCAGCATACATTCAAAAACTTAATGTTTGAAATATTTGTAACACAAAACCTTATTTGTATTATAATTATACTAATATTTCAAACCTAAATGATAATAGTTCATCATAAAGACATCATCAGCTCACTATATATCCCCACTGAGGGTCTCAGTCTACCATAAGTGAGAGTATGTGATAGTGAATGCTGGCCCAGTGCATGACTTCACACACAATGTTTCCTTCATCGTAACAATATAGGATAAATGTAACACAGTGGTGCTGACAGACTTACAAACATTTTATTTATGTAGATAATTTATATTCCCAGGTCCAAACAGTCCAGATAGGTGATTTAGTGTTTGTAAGTGTACAACTCAAGTCTGAAGTTAGATGTAGTGCTCCATTGTACTTGGCTATGCCTTTAGGGCTCCCCGTTGCATTGGTTAGTTCGGTGAAATCTAATGGTGTACTGCAAGCTTGTGTATTAGGTGAGTAACTAATCTTTTATATATATAATTCTTCTGTGAGTGTGTATGTCACTGAACTTCTCTCAAACGACTGGACCGATTTTGATGAAATTTTTTGTGTGTGTTCAAGGGGATCTGGGAATGTTTTAGATTCACAATTTTCATCAAATATTAACTTCATATTAATTTATTCAAATTAAAGACGTGTAGACAGGACATCGTTTGTCGGGTCCGCTAGTATTATTATAAGGTAGAAGGTAAACTCAAGTTGGTAATGGTTATTTTTTTAAAGTTGTTTGTATTGCTTATTTATTGTATTGACATATGGATTTTGCCAAACCATTTGATTTTTTTTCGACAATATTTTTTTTTGGAATTGCGTATTTAAGGTTCGAAGGTTTTTTTTTATTTTCAAATTTTACAGGTTTAGGATATAAAAATTTTACTGACGCAAACTTGAACGGTAGACATATACCATCCCTACTTCGTATCCACGGCGGTTGGGATGAAAACCTTGGGTACATGACTGAAATACCAAAATACGATCCCGTACCAATTGTCACTAAAACCGGTATAGATTATACCAATAAAGCATACGATGAACATTACGTTAATACAATATTAGGACCGGATCCACCTTTGTTGACAGATTTACATATAACAACTGCTAAAATGTTCTTCAATAATATGGATAATAGATTGATAACTATAAAAGCTCATTTATCAAGTCAAAATATAGCGAAAACTTTAAAAACTTTAGTAATTAAAGGTGCATTGAGACCTACTTCTGAATTATTGCATGTTTTACATACAGCTAAATCGAATAGGTTAGAAAATTATACGGAAAGCGAATAAATGGATGACAAATCGCTTGACATATCAGCTGGTCGATCCAAGATGGCGGAAATCAATAAGGCACAGAATGAAACGGCTTATAGCCAGTACAGTGAATATGCTTTCTCTGTTTTTTTCTAAGAGAATGTAAGAGATAGCAATATTAGATGTTTCGAATGATGATTCGCTCAACACTTACTGCCAACGAATTTTGCGAGTTTATATGAAAAAATTGTAGCAATGAAAGTGTTAATTATTGTAAATTAAATTAATTAACTAAGTAATATATGATAAAACCTTAAATAATTGTTTTTTATTTTACCTATTCCTTTGAATATCTGCATGAATTTCTTCGTTTTTTGTTTCTTCTTATTTCATAAAATAAAACTCAATAAATTGACAAGATATTTTATTTAAACCACCACATTAGATTCTAAACAAACTTATAGAAACAAAGTATAGACTAGAAATATATTAAATCTATATTTTTGAAAGAAGTTTATTGGACTAAATTAAAAAAAAATCGCAAGACGAAAAAAAAACTCCACCAGAGCAAAAAAAAACAAAGGCATTTCAAATAAGTCCAATAAACCTCTTTATAAACTGAAAAGGAAAAAAAACACTTCAATTCCATAACAAAAAACAATAAAATACTTCGACTAGTGCCTAAGGATGGCAACATTTTTTATATTAATGGCATCTCAATATTAAAAAAAAATTTCGCACCAAAACAACTGTCATGAAAAATCGTCAAAATTAATCAATTTGAAAAGCCTTTTAGCTTTATTTATGGAAGAGTTATGGTATTATACATAAAAATTATATGGTTTTCAAGATTTTCGACTTTGAAATAATTTCAAAGCTATGTAGAGATTTTTATTTTATAAAAAACAATATAATGTCGTACATACACCAATATTAAGCACAACTACAATTGAGTCAAAAACTTTCTCAGTTAAGATTTAATCCAACACATGCCCCATTTAATTACCAATTAACGACTAAACGTAATATTCGTTGATATCTAGATATGTAACAAATAACCGATCAAGCAAAAAAAAAAATTACTTAAAAACGATAGTATCAATAAAAAATATATGAATTTCTTTTAAAAATATGGCAACACCAATACAGATGACACTAAAGAGATCATATAGTTCAACAAACATATGACTTTCCTTAACTATAACGATGATGCATACAACCTTACCGTAACATTTGACAAAATGCATTCCCTCCAAAGCGATTCCATAACGAACTTCAAAAATGTATAGACAACTTTGGATAAGTCACGTGATTGTCACGCGTCCATACATTTGTAGTTCGCTATGGTATCTGTTAGTAAGCAAAATAAATGATATGGTCGTTAGTTCCAGCATATAACTTTATAAAGTTTTAATGAATTAGACCTCAAAAAATACCCCAATGTGTTTATTTAAGATATGAAAAATAAAATAAAAAAAAGTCGACTATTATTGCCAATGGTTAATTTTTTAAAAATTAAAAAATTTGAAATTTAATTTCGTTATAATTTTTTTTTATGTTAGACATATAATACATATATATTTAAATTTAACTATCTACGCAAGCACATGAAAGTTTTTACACAGTTTGTTAATATAGTTAAAAATTATTGAGCAGATTCTACAGACAAAGTCTAGATTTAATAGTTACTAATTCTTAAAAAAGTTCTATGCGTAGTATTCAACTGCAGTAATTTTTTTTTTATAAGAGAAACGGGGGCAAGCGAGCGGCGGGAACACCGAGGTGATCAACGATACCCATGTACAGCCGCAGCAGGACCAGAGGAACTGCAGATGCGTTGCCGGCCTTTAAGGAAATGGTATACTCGCTTCTTCACGATTCTAGTATAAACATATCGTTGTCTCTATTTTGTTAAGAGGAATGACAAGGATGACAATATTACTGTCTTTCGGTCTCTACATGTCAGCATAATCAAGAGTGACAGTATCACTAAAATGACCACAGATACAGAATGTTGCCATAGCAACATCCGTCAAATTTCACATGAAAAATTAGAAAACAAGTTGTAAGATGAACAGAAATTATTCAAAACAAGATAAGAAATTACTATGGAGAACTGATCGCCAACATTTGTTAATCGGAGAGGCATTTCAAGAAGAAAAATGAAAAAGTTTTTTTTTGCTAGAATGACACTAGAGTTTAGATGTTAGTTTTTCTCCTTATCACTGCTAGTGTTCGAAAGAATTTTGGCGGAAAACTAAAGAGGCATAGACTAAAAAAAGCTAATGCTAAAACGTTATACAATATTCACATTTTGACAGCTGTCACTCGATAGTGATGTAACCAAAGAATCGGAAACATAAAATACCGATTCATCGATTAATCAATAAAATCGATAACATGTCATCAAAATATTTAGTTGTTTCAATTTCTAATTTTCCTTGATTGAAGGCGATATATTATAAGCAACTAACTGTCGCCCGCGACTCCATCCGCGCGGGATTATAAAATAGATAGCTCGATATGCTCACAAAATTTCATGAGAATCGGTCAAGCCGTTTCGGAGGAGTATGGGAACGAAAATTGTGACACGAGAATTTTATATATAAGATAATATAAGCGAGGTTATTTTTCAAAAGACAAATTTTGGCAAGATACGAATATCAATAGTAAATCAGGACATCAAATATTTACAAACAATTTAAAACAAACATTAGCACCAAGTTTGAAACGCGACAGCGTTAAATCAAATTTATAGCAAGCTATAATTTTTTTTATTGCAACACCCTTACCATAGACAATTATTTTTTTCTTAAGTTACGTTTAATCCTTAATGATAATGAAAATCTTCCACAAATCTAATAATCTACGAAGAAATTGTATTTAAAAACCTTATTTATCCTAAAAAAATGTTTTTAAAATTACTATTTGTAATAGAATTTTGTACTGAAAAACGGCCGATTCAATTTTTCCCCCTTTTTTCACTATCTTACCATAGATTAAAGACTTTAGTTCTAGATTTCAAAGAACTGAAAATCCAGGTATTCAGGTTTCAAGAGAATATAGGATATTTTTATACTTTTCTTAGCAACAGAATTTCCAAAAACTAAAAAAAAGTTGATGAAATGAAAATCCACATTTATCCAAAAAAAGATAAATTAGTTTTCTAAAGGCTGAGACATGGATAATATAAATAATTCAATTTAAAGTAAACACCTTACATTAAGATATAGATTATAAAAAATCTAGAGCAAAGTCAATCTATGGTAAGATCTTCCAATCACTATTCTACGATCACATTATGCCAACTGATCACAGATTTTTTTAAACCCTGCCACTTCATTGCCGCTACGTAAAAATATTATTTAAGATATTTTATTCTGTAAAATTTTTTTTTTGATGTGACAATCACAAAAAAAATATAAATGCCATCCCAGCTACTATTGGGTATCTTATATTATTTGTTTTTAATTTCTAATGTGTGAAATAGATTGAAAAAAAAAAACTTTTTCAGTAGCGGCAATACCATTTTCAAATCCATCTCAAATATCATTCCAATTCTTTCCCATCCTTCAAATCCATATTTAAATATACTAACTATATAATAATATGTATATAATAAATAAAAATATCCATAAACAAGGAATATACAGACATTGTACAAACATATTCTTATTTTTTCTTCCATTTGACAGTAGTCTATGGTTACCATAAAATTAAAAGACAATTTCGACCATAGACAATTACTGCGAATGACAATTACAAATGAGTCATTCGTAAGATGTTAACTGGCTTCGTTCACACTTATTCTGACATATTCCTGTCTCTGTTTCGTCAAAGAGAAAGAAAGAGAAGGGAATATGTCACTGTCACTTTAAATATGACTAAAAAAAACACAATAAAGTATTTAAGATTCAAATTAAAATTATAAATGTTACATTTTAGCGCCAATTGTCAAGTGACGCCTGCGCCATCTTGATATTTATGCCGCCATTTTGCAAACGTCAAATAATTTTTCCTATTCAACGTGTCAAAGTCGAAAAATGACATAAATCAGTCTAAAATAGACTTTAATTCTTTGAAAAATTATATCTTAGCGAACAAAATGTACCAAATATATATTTTAATTTAACTATTGTTAATTTAAACCGTATCCTATTGTAATAAGGCTTATTTTACAATGTCAAATATAAGTCATACCTTCTAAGTGGATTTCGCATCTTCAGTTTTGTTGGTATTTTTTAAATCTGAATCAATATGTGACATAGTCATGTGTCGTCTGAAAAATTAAACAATAACTTCAAGATAACACTATTTAATCACCCTTAACTTAGGGTAGGCTCCGAGCCCCTCGGTGGGGACGTATAGTGAGCTGATGATGATGAACACAATTTAAAAAAAAAATCTATGACACTCTTTGTAAGAATACGAATCGAATGACACCTCACTTGTTAAAATATGTTCACTTGTTTACGATACAGGATGTCACAATTAAACTTGTCTTTACTAATATTATAAATAGGATACATCCTCACTGAGGGCTCTGAATCTACCCTAAGTGAGACTATGTGATAGAGAATGCTGGTCCAGTGCAAGACTTCACACATTTGACTTTCTCAGATATGTGTAGCATCACAGTTTCCTTTACCGTAAGAACATATGATAAATGTACATATGTAAAACACATTGGTACATGACGGGATTCGAACTCAAGACCTGCGTTACAAGCCTAGTGTTCAACCACTGAGCCACTAACAATCTTTTGTTTGTTTGTATTAAATATTCACGGAAACTACTAAACTGATTTCACAGTTGAGAAGTTACACTATCTCCAAGTGACGTAGACTACATTTGTTGCTAGATTTTTTAAATGATAGATGTTTGTTAGAAGATATCTCCAGAACGGCTGTATGGATCACACTGAAATTTGTCATAGATGTAGAACATAGGAAGAACACATAGGATACTAAGTTTTTTTTTTTATTTTGATAAACACTGGATTACGGCTAGTTCTTACCTCAAACCTCTTTCCCCACGGAATGATAAACTGCAAAGTGGACAATGTTCCCATTGTTGACTCTTTTCCGATCCTTTTTGATTGCTTTTCAATATAGGAACATCTTCGGATGGCTTAGTTGCTTTATCTTGTTTTTGTTGATTGTTTTGTGTTGATTTAGATTTTTGTTTAGATTCTACAAAAAAAAAGATTAATTAATATCTTACTAATATAACAAATGCGAATGTTTAGAAAAGCATCGGTGGCTCAGAGGTCAAGCACTTGACTCGTAATCTGCAGGTCCTAGGTTCGAATCCCGCCATGTACCAATGTGTTTTTCTATTTCCGATTTACATATGTAGATTTATCCGACGTTCTTACGGTGAAGGAAAACATCGTGATGCTGCACATATCTGAGAAGAAATTCAAAGATATGTGTGAAGTCAACTCGCACTTGATCAGCGTGGTTGACTATGGCCTAGTCACTCGTGACTTGGGGTACAGTCCGAGGCCCTCGGTGGGGACGTATAGTCAGCTGATGATGATGATAAATGTTTAGATGGATGTTTGTTAGAAGTTATCTCCAGAACGTCTGCATGGATCTTGCTGAAATTTGTCATAGATGTAGAACATAGTCTGGAAGAGCACATAGGCAACTAAGGTTTTTTTTATAGCCATGCAGACGGAGTCGCGGGCGACAGCTAGTACATCTGTTTAATTTAAGATCAGCCGACCTTTGTGTACTTCACTAATTAAAACCAACTAAAAACACAAATGGTCCTTCAAGTCGGATTTACCTTTAGCAACAATAACAATATTAGGCACGCCCATGACACTGTCAGGTGACTCACTCTGACTGTTCCTTGTGTCAATGTCAACACGACTGAGTGGTATCACTTCATCACTTGAACAATCACTGTCACTCCGAGTCTTGTTTGTCTGATGTTTCTTGACGCGCTTCCGAAATCTGTAAGGAGGTTCCTAAATATGTAAAATCTACTCCAAGGAAGAGAACACACTGAAAAAGAATATTTCCCTTCCTGTACATCCTTTCTCTAGCCATTTTCACCTTCCTATTTCACTGTAATGAAATTTGGCAATATAGAATATATACGGTACTACGTTTTTTTAATTCTCGTGGATAGAGCCGCGGGCGACAGCTAGTAGAGCTAGACATTATATTATAAAGGAAAACTGCCCCAGAAGGTGTAAAATTTTTAAGTTTAAAAAAATGCCTTTTATTTTTTTTAATACCCAGAGGGGAATTTTTATTTTATTTTTCTGGTGACCCTTGTGACCACCCCTATCATCCCCCTTCCTATACACGTAACCTTTTGGGACACCCTATATAGACTTAATATATAGATTTTTTTTAATGCAGACAAAGTTTGTAAATACGAACCTTTTCCTTGGTCTTTTATAAACAGGAGCAGGTTTATTTAGTTTGGTTTCTTCGTTGTTATTTATATTTATGTATTTTTCACATTTACTGATAGCTCTCTCCTGGTCCGTACTACTGGATAGTGAGCTCTTGTCGCAGGCAAACAGATCTGTTTCGTTACTAAGTTCATTGCTGTCCAATTGATCACTGAAAATATATAAAATGTATAGAAAAACTTGAAAATATTTTGTTCAGTTAAATATACACAAGAGTTATTTTTTCGTTGTAACTGACCTATACAAGTGAGAAACTGGAATTAAAGCAAAACCCTTTTGAGAAATTATAGTACCTTGTACTGTTGCTTCTCCAGGTTTTACTGTATTTAAAATGGGGATTTTTTTTATAATATAAGGTGACAAATGAGCGAGTGGCAACCTGAAATCGCTGAAATAGCGAAGTGACCGTTACCCATAGACATACGAAATTGCATATGGGTTACCTACCTTTAATCGACAGAGAGGATGCACAGAAAGAAAAAATCTTAACTTCCCATGCATTCTCGCATCCGGAAAGTCCACTTGTACTTCCTATCCTTTCCTTATTAAAAAGGGTGGGAAGTGAAAGAGGACTAAATTAGGCCTCCGGGATGTACACTAATCAGACGAAACGCGGAATTGCTTCCACTTCATGCCTGTCTTCTGTGTGGTCGTGGTATTTCACCGGGCGAGCCGGGCCAATTCAATTTTGTGTTTACTTTCTTATTTAAAAAAAAAAGTATAAGATTATTAACAGTATCGTCAATTTTTAGTGCATAGCTAATAAAGGAGACAAATTCTTTTATAACTTGTTGCTGGCTGTTATTGTTTTTATTAAAAAAAACAAAACCTTGGAATAAATGACCTACTTTCTGTAAACAAAATATTGGCTGATATTGAATAATTTAGACCTTGTATTAAAAAAAAACTGTTAGGAAACATCAAACACTAGTACTAGTTTGATTTCCAAACATAATCCGAGTTTTTTTACAAAGAGAATGATGAAAATATATATCAATTAAGTTTATATACATAGATGAACATACATACTTATAGATTAAGTGTTTTATACTTTTGATGTCTAAAAAATGATTGATTTATAAAATGTAATTTTGAATTAATGACAATTTTGAGTAAATTTATCCAAACAAAAGGCCTTTGGAAACCTTTTTTGTCTCACTTTTGTGCTCCTTATTAGCTATCTATAGGTTACAAATATATGTTTATACCAGTTCTGATATGGTCTTCTTGTTGATCCTTATTTAAATTTTTAAAAGATGAACAAAAAAAATTGTCTTACCTGCAATCTGAGATATCACTTTGTGATCCAGTTTCAAGTTTTTTGATTTGAAACGTTATATTTATCCTTTTATAAATCTCTTCAGTGATATTACGACATTTTTCCTTAGGGTTCAAAGTTTCACCGGAAATTTTCGACCAAGCAGCGTCTTGTACGGTCGACATTGTTCCAATTGGAATCTTATAAGTATTTTCTTATTTAATTGCCATTTTTAATAAAGTAATTTCGTTAAAACGAACAATTTTAACCATGTTTAACACGGTGAAAAGTAATAAGAAAAAGCCAATATTGTGGCAGTGTAAAAATGGCGGGATTTGACCAAATATTATGCTTGGAACAATGTTATTTATGCCAATGTTAAATATGTAATTCTTGACTCAATTCTTAAATGTTGAAATCGAAAAATTTTCCTTCAACGTTTCGACACTTTTAGTATACATAAAAACAAAGGATAGTCAATAATGGCACTCAAGTCAATGATAGAACTTATATATATAAATAATAAGACTAGATATATAATGGTTCCAGCACTCTCAAAGAGCACAATTCAACAATAATAAAACATAAATAACACTAAGAACTAAATTAAAACTACAATAGCTTTTGCGGTGTTTTTTTTTGAGGTTTTTTGACGTTTTAAATTTAGTGTTGCTTGCCGTTAATTGCTCATAATTTTAAAATGAAAAACCACTTTCCGGCATAGGCAACACATTAATATTATTTTCGCGATGTTATTATGATGTTTGTGGAGATAAACAAGTTGCGAAATGTACAAGGTACTTTTATTGTGCTTTTATCAAGGATTATTAACACTTTAGGCTGAGGTTCAATACCAAAGCACGCTTTAACTTCTCTTGGAACAAAGGAAATGATTTTCGATTGATAAAAGTTGACTTTGATGGATGTTTCTAAAAATGTTGTATCTTGTCTATTGATTCTCTAATAAAGTTAATGAAAATAAGCAAATTTCAGGTTTTTAATTATATTTACGTTATAATTAAATAACTATTTTCAGAAAGAAAATAAAAAATTTCAATAAAAAAAATTTACATTTACGAACGGTAATAAAATGTCTTGACGTTTATGGTTTGCATTCCCGCCAAAGGTAACTTGATTTTGACAAGAACATTTTATGTTTTGTATTTTTGTACTGTAGCATTTGATTTAATTTAATGTGTTTTCGTGATGAAATTGTTTACGATTATTTATAGAACTTTTTAGTCGTAATTTTATAATTGTCAACTATCATGTCTTGCAAAAAAGGGGGCAAAACTAAAAAACATTTACTCTTAGCTAAATTAGCCACCGATGATATTGGTTCTTGTTCATTTTGTAATCGAAATATTGACGATGAAACTATTTACGGCAAATTGTACTCAATCGGTGATATTTACTGTCATTATTTCTGTGTTGTAAGTAATTTTTTATTATTACCGTTCCGTTATATTCATTATGTCCAAGAGTATGCATAAAAACATTAACGAAGTAAATTTATATCGGGAATGTAAGTGGCAGTTTTCGAGGCCGTCTCAGACGGAAATATATCGTCTAGATTAGTGTCACACTTAAAAAGGGCGGTATTAAGAGCACTCGAATCCGACATACATATATGGGTTGATTTATGAATGTTGAAGTGAAAGTCACCTATCACGGGTACATTACGGACTTTCTATGGTCTCTGCCTAGCTTTCTAGGTTATGGGAGTTGTTTACGTAAATTATATAAAATGTTATAATTAATGTTTTAGCTATTATCATGCTGTTTGATACAAAAAGGTAAAGACAATGAAGGTCTCTTTGGTTTCTTATATCCGGATATTGTAGCAGAAATTGAGAGAAGTAAAAAACATGTAAGTAATATATTTTATCTACAACTAGCTGTCGCCCTTGACTCTGTCTGTGCAGAATTTAAAATACTTTAATTAGTTGCCTATGTGTTCTTCCAGACTGTTCTACATTTATGATAAATTTTAACAAGATCCATTGAGTTCTTCCAGAGATACCTACTAACAAACATCCATCCTCTGATCCATCGGTTCATCCAAACTTTCACATTTATAATAATAGTAAGATAACATACTAAAGCTTTAGTTTAAGCTATTTTTAAATATTTTCATTGGCTTATATGTCCATACTGAGATGCGTGTAGCCTAGCTCTTTTAAAGGGTGATTAAGGTTTGTCAACTGTCCTGGTCCATGGCCTATTGCTTGTCTACACAGATCCTTGCATCAAAATGCTTTCCTTTATAAGAATGTAACATAAATGTTTAATTTGCTATAGGCTTAATTTTAATCTTTTACTTATTGAAGTTATTTGATAGGAGGGGATACATAGAAAGGGGAAATATTCTCATTCTGTGCTGTCCTTCCACTATAAATTAAATGTATGTAATGGATATGCAATTGTCTATGGGCAAAGCAATCCGGTAATAATAACTAAGTATCGGCCTGAGCCGAAGTTCTTGAGGGAGCCCTCTTAGTTACTCTTAAACAAGGTTTAGACTAAGTGCCATCTGTGTTCGGCCACCTCAAGCCCGGTGAAGCTGTAAATGCCTCTTCAAAGCAAACAGTGGCAATTCAGTGACGAAAAAATCTATAGACAATGTTTATTTCGCTATTTTCAATAATTTTTATTTTAACAAGCTAGATTAGTATAAGTAGGATTTTATCTGACTTGTTATCTACAAGAGGGGGTTAAAAATTTAATAAGTAGCCTATGTGAAAATTAAATTTAAACATTTATTTATTATTCCTACCTACCCTGTATATTAGTCAAAACTGTGTATATAAATCTGTCTAGGAATTTCTGATGGTCTTTATGTAGTCCACTAGCTGTCGCTCGCGTCGCCGTCCGCGCGATTTATAAAATTCTGAATTAGTAGCCTATGTGTTCTACATTTAACAAATTTCATCAAGATCCATACAGCACAGTTCTGGAGATACATTCTAACAAACATCCATCCATCCATTCACATTTATAAGATTAGTTCTTACTAAACTAGCTCTTGCTATAGCATATAAGTGATTAAGAGCTAAATCATTGACTCTCACACTATGTTGTATTCCAGAAATGTTCTTACTGTGGTAAAGAGGGCGCCACTCTCGGTTGCTCCGTGACACAATGCAGGAAACAATTCCACTTACCCTGCGGAAGAGAGAAAGATGCTGTATCATTATATTATGGGAATTATAAGTAAGTACACATTGTCGCATGGAAGAAAGAAAAAGTCGAAACTCGACATACGACTATTATAGCACAAGCCTATAGCTTACTTGGAAATGACAAGAAATGTAAAATTAGGAGCGTAAAAAGTTGGTAAAAAAAGTCTGCTGATGATTCTTCCACAGATCCTTTTGTCAACTGCATGCACCAAGACAAAAAATCAATTTAGAAATAATGGACAAAGTGAAAGAAAGGATATCAGCACAAAGAAAAAAATCGAAAGATAAAGAAATCAGTGATTTAAATGGTAAGTAAACATATATCTCAACTATATTCTTATTTTAACCGATTTTACTTATTCATGACTAGCTGTCTCATGCGACTCCGTCCACACGGTATTAAAAAAACAATTAGTATTAGCCTATGTGTTTTTCCAGACTATGTTCTACATCTATGACAAATTTCATAAAGATCCGTTCTGTAGTTCTAGAAATACCTACCAACATTCATCCAAACATTTGCATTTATAATATTAGTATGATTTTGTGTTAAAATTGGTTGACTTCAGCTACATAAAATACATCCATATTTAACCTTTACTAAGGGTGTCCCTAACGGTTAATCAAGCCGGTCGTAGTTGGTGACCAAGTAGGAGATTGGTAGAAAAATTGTTATTCCGATTTAAAAAAAAACGAATAATTCACTAAAATATGTTATTAAAAGGAGTCCCTTTAGGCAAGGTCCCGAAATTACTGGCAGCGTTCCCCCTCTGTACAGCTAAACTAATTCTTTGACCGAGGTAGCTGCCAGCTCTTCGGTTCCCTGTGATGTCGATTAATTTTTTATATATCCTTAAAAAGTCTTAAAGCGCTAGGGTAAAGACCAAGGGTCTCGACGCCGAATGACTCCTTTTAATAACATATTTTAGTGAATTATTCGTTTTTTTTTTAATATTTTTTTTTATATCATAAGGCGGCAAACGAGCGAGCGGCCACCTAAAATCGCTGAAATAGCGAAGTGACCGTTGCCCATAGACATACGCAATTGCATATGCGTTGCCTACCTTTAATCGACGGAGGAGGGGATGCATAGAAAGAAAATATCTTCCCTTCCCATGCATCCTCTCATCCGGAAAGTCCACTTCCACTTCCCATCCTTTCCTTATAAGAAAAAGGGTAGGATGTGAAAGAGGACTAAATTAGGCCTCCAGGACGCACACTCATCAGACGAAACGCGGAATTGCTTCCACTTGACGCCTGTCTTCTGTGTGGTCGTGGTATTTCACCGGGTGAGCCGGGACAATTCGTGCGTAGATGTTAAAGCGGGATCTACCACTGTTAAATAATAATTTATATTTTATTTTATATAATAGATTTAAGATTATATGTTATTATAGAAATAAGTATGTATAATAAATTAATATTGTTCTTAAATTCATATCTTATTTGACTATTTACATTTTCAGATATACAAATGAATATTGTATGTGTGATATGCTATGAGCCCGTAGAAGGCAGTCCATCTATAAACACATTCTGGCCACCCTGTTGTGCGAGAGATGCATGGTTTCATAGGAATTGTTTGCAGGTATGTTTAATTAGTTTTTTTTATACACAAAGGCTACTATAAAAAAAATGATTCTTTGTTGCATAAAATGTAATAACTTTAGATCTATTGATAAGAGAATCAATCTATATATTGAGGTCTACCTACTTTTTAAGCACAGATCATGAGACTATTAACAAACAACCTATATATATCATCATCAGTCGACTATAAGTCCTCACTAAGGGTAGTCTACTCTAAGTGAGATGTGATAGTGAATGCTGGTCCAGTGCAAGACTTCACACATAACTTTCTCAGATATGTGCAGCATCACGATGTTTTCCTTCACAGTAACAACATACGATAAATGTACATATGTAACACATTGGTATAGCGGGATTCGAACCCAGAAGCTGCAGTTTACAAGAGTTTAACCATTGAGCCACTGACGCTATATATTAATTTGGATATTAATATAAAACAATTGTATCAACAGCGCATGGCATTAAGTGCTGGGATGCATTATTTAAAATGTCCTTTGTGCAATGACAAAGAGATATTTTTAGACGCTGTCATGACACAAGGATATTATGTTCCTGACAGGTATGTACTTCGTTTTTATTATCACATTATATAAACTCAAAAACTACTAAACTGATGATAATTTGCGGCAGTCAAAGTAGTCGAAGTAGTTCTCTTCCTATTTCCATATAAGTAAACAATGGGAAGGGAATATAGAAGGAAGGGTAAACATCCTTTATGTCACCTCTTCTCTATTAAAAGTAGGTCTTGGTAGTCACTTCGCTGTTTTAGCGAAAACAGGTGGATACGTGATCGTTTTTCACTTTTAAAAAAATTCTGGTTTTCAAGCCATACCATCATAAACCTTTGCCTCATTATTTTTTACTATTCTTAATTAATAAATTGATTTTGTGTTCATCTAGACTATGTTATATATGTATGACAAATTTCAACAAGATCTATGCAGCCGTTCTGGAGATAACTTCTAACATACATCTAAACATTCACATTTATAATATTAGTCATCATCATCAGCTCACTATAAGTCCTGAGGGGCTCGGAGCCTACCCTAAGTTAAGGTTGATTAGGTCATAGTCAACCACGCTGGCCAAGTGCGGGTTGACTTCACACATATCTTTGAATTTCCTCTCAGATATGTGCATGTTGCATCACGATGTTTTCCTTCACAGTAACAACATAGGATAGGTAACATTGGTACATGACGGGATTCGAACCCAGGACCTGCAGATTGCAAGTCAAATGCTTGAACACTGAGCCACTGACGCTCTGTGACATTAGTAAGATAGTGTAATTTTTTGTTGTATTATTTACAGAGACGCGGCATGGGAGTTGGAACATAATGCGTACTCAGAGATGTACGAGATAAATCTTAGTTGTTGTGCACTTGACTGTAAATGTCCAATGGGCAAGGAACATGATTCTGATAATGAAAATGGGTAAGTTTAAATAAATGTAACTAGTTTTCGTCTTCTACTTTGTTTTAAATCTCTATATAAAAATTGATTGCTGTTTGTTATTCCCTGACTGTACCAATCACCAAATAACCACTTGAGGTAACACGTTTTTTAAATAGTCATTTAAAATTCCTGAAAACATACTAATATAAATGCGAATGTTTAGATGTATGTTAGAAGATATCTCCAGAACAGCTGTATAGATCTTGATGAAATTTGTCATACATATAGAACATAGTCTGGAACACATAGACTATTAAGTTTTTTTTATTCAATAAAGACGGAGTGACGAGCAAAAATCATAAGTTTCTATAAATAACTAGCAGTCGCCTGCGTCTCCGTCCGTGTGGATATATAAAAAAAACTTAATTAGTGTAGCCTATGTGTTCTATATGTATGTCAAATTTAATCGAGATCCGTTCAGCTGTTCTAGAGATATCTTCAAACACCCATCCATCCATCCACATGACATCCATCTAAACATTCAACATTTATAATATTAGTAAGTTAAACAAAAAGCAGCTCTTCAAGGCATAAATTCGAAAAAAAATGAATAAATAGTATCCCATGTCCGTCTCCATGCTCTAAGCTACCTCCTCACCAATTTTCAGTCATATCGGTAAAGTCGTTCTTGAGTTATAAATAGTGTAACTAACACCACTTTCTTTTATATATATATAATATTATTTTTAATTACAGATTATGGGATATAAAGTTATGCATATTATGCGGCGGTTGTGGTATGCATGACAAATGTATGGAAACAGAAAATAAAAAGAAGGGAAGATATGTTTGTATGACATGCGCTCCCGCAGCACCTAAAGATATAGATTCTCTTGCTGCTAGTATTGAAACAGGTAAGCTTATATATATATATATAAAAAAATATTAGCAGATTTTTTTGTAAATTTACTAATATTCCTTTTACCAATCCAATTAAGCTCTATGCTTGTGCTAGATTCGAACCCCCGACCTCGTGATCGGAAATCTATACCTTTAACGGTTAGGCTATTGGCGCTTAATATATAAAATTCTCGTGTCACAATTTTCGTTCCCATACTCCTATGAAACGGCATTGACCGATTCTCATGAAATTTTGTGAGCATATTGAGTAGATCTGAGAATCTGACATGTATTTTTAATCCCCCTAAATTTTAAGTTGTTGAATATTTGTATGGATGTATGGTCAGAAGATTGAAACTTAATTTTTTAAGATGTTAATCTTACTAATATTATAAATACGAATGTTTATATGTATGTTTGTTAGAAAAATGTCTCTAAGATGGCTGCATGGATCTATATAAAATTTGTCATAGATAAAGAACATAGTCTTTTTTTAATTCCGCCTAAACGAAGTCACGGGAAAAAACTAATTAAGGGAATATGATAAATTTCTTTTTTTTTTTGTATTCATCTTCCAGTTATAGTGGGTGAGGAAATTCCATCACAAGTAATGAGACGCGGCCCCGTGATGCCGTGTCGTATGTCATTGAGACGAACTAAACAGATAAATAGGTAAATATCACTTACATAGCTTTAATATCAAACAGTATATAAGCAAGAATAACTAAATCACCCGACTGACTGACTACCGTCACTGACTGAATCACTAACTTCACTGACTGACTGAATCACTAACTTCACCGAGTAATTGACTAACTATTGATTTCAAATAAAATGTATATATATATATATATAAATTAAATATATATATATATATATATATATATTTAATTTATGAGTTATTGAATATTTTTTTAATTAACTTTTATATTTCCAGGGCATCATGTTCGAATAGTTTTAATATGAAACGTATAGATAGAAATAAGGAAGATGAAAAGCAAGATGGTATTTATTTTAGTTTATTTTTTTAATTTAAAAAATGTATGCTTTACAATTTTCATTCCCCACCCTTTTTTTTATAAGGAAAGGATGGGAAGTGGAAGTGGACTTTCCGGATGAGAGGATGCATGGAAAGGGAAGATATTTTATTTCTGTGCATCCTCTCCTCCGTCGATTAAAGGTAGATATATGCAATTGCGTATGTCTGTGGGCAATCACTTCGCTATTTCAGCGATTTCAGGTGACTCGCTCGTTTGCCATCTTATGATATAAAAAAAAATATATATATATAAAAATTATGAATAAAAACGTGTAAAAAGGTTCCTTATCTGTCGGCAACAATGTCTAAAACTAGTTTTTTTTCCAGATATTAAAGATGTTAATACATCTCGTATGGAATTAAATTTAAAACCACCTATTAGGTTAAATTTTACACTAATTCAACCGAATATATTGAACGATGTTGATAACATTTTAATATCACCATTGAAATTATTGGAGAAATGTTTACATGAAAGAATAAAGGAAAATGAATTTCTCGAATTGGATTCCATGAAATTGATAAAGATTATGTCGGAGAAATTTAAAAAACCAAAACCTTTGATTGTAAAGAAGAAAATTATCAAGTAAGTTAATAATAAATAAATTTTCGACAGTAACTCTGTCCGCACGGAAAAATAAGTAGCCTATGTGTTCTTCCAGACTATGTTCTATATGTATGACAAATTTCATCAAGACCCTTCCAGCAGTTCTGTAGATATCTTCTAACAAACATCTAAACATTTGCATTTATAATATTAGTAAAATAGGAATGTTTAGATGTATGTATGTGAGAAGATATCTCCAGAACTGTATGGATCTTGATGAAATTTGTCATACATATAGAACATAGTCTGGAAGAACACATAGACTACCAAGTTTATTTTATTCAATCCGCGCGGACAGAGTCACGGTCAACTACTAGTCTTTTATATTAAAAAATCCAAGAATAAATATTTATTAAGTTTGTATTTTTTTCTCAGTGATTTATTAGAAAATGTTTTGGATGATTTGAAGAAAGATAAAATCAAATCCAATGAATGTATAAATGAATGGAACTCTCCTAAGAAATGTGTCGAAATTAAAGATGACAATATTCAGGTAATATTATAATTATTATATCTTTATATATATATATATATAATTCGTCTGTGAGTGTGTGTGTCACTGAACTTCTCTCAAACGACTGGAGCGATTTTGATGAAATTTTTTGTGTGTGTTCAAGGGGATCTGGGAATGGTTTAGATTCACAATTTTCTCCGCTGGACAATGTTTTTTTAATTAATATTTAATTTATTAGTAGTTGTTGATTTTGGAATGTTTTACATTGGATCCGACAGACGGCGCTACCATCGCAGTGTCAAATTGTCAGACAACGTTCCCATACTCCTCCGAAATGGTTTGACCGATTCTTATGAAATTTTGTGAGCATATTGAGTAGCTTTGAGAATCGACCAACATATATTTTCAATCCCGCGCGGACGACAGCTAGTGTTAAATATATATTTAGAAGTTGTTAGTTTCCACTGTCGAAACAACACATCTATGTGACTAACAGTCGATTTCTGAGAACATAATCTTTATATAAAACACTAGATGTCGCCCGCGACTCCGTCCGCGTGGATATATAAAACTTAATTAGTGTAGCCCATCCATCCATCCACGTCACATCCATCTAAACATTCGCATTTATAATATTAGTAATATATTTTACAGAAAGAAGTTCCTTCTCAAAGTTTCAATGAAAACCCAACTTTAAATATGGAAAATTCACAAATCATAGAAGAACAAGACATAAAAGATAACACAGAAGATATATTTACAACACCAAAAAAACTAAAACCGGTACATATACAAAAAGATTCAACTATGGAAATATCAGAAAACGATCAAACTGTAAAAATAGAAGTAATAAAAAACGAAGAGAATTCACCTAATGATTTAGAAATGAATTTTATGAAAAAAAATAAATGTGCTTTCAAATTTAATCCAAATAAAGAAGAAATACACACAAACATACAAGATTTAGATGTTGAAAGTTTTAAAAACCATTATTTGAACGAGATAGAAAGAGATAAAAACTGTAGCAATAATAAAAAAAATATAAAAAATGATGAAAAATCAAATAAGAAAAGAAAGTTGCCAAACAATGAAAAAACCACTAAAATTAAAAAGAGAAAAATCGACAAAGAATTGGAATGTTCCAATATTAAATCTTTAAAAAAGAATAAAAAGCATAAAACGAAATTATCGATAAAAAATGAAAATATAAAAGTTAAAATTCGATGGAAATATGAAAAGTTGAAATTGAAAATAACAGAATCGTGTAGAAGAAAGAAAATACAGAAGACGAGGAAATCGAAACAATACATATTAAAATTCGCACAGGAGAAATTGCGACAGAATGTAGAAAAACCAAAAAAAATCCAACCAAGAAAAAGGAAAAATAAAAAAATCGAAAAAACCACAGATAAATTAATTCAAACTTCTTTGTATGATTTTTTTAAAACTAAAAATGATAAAACATAAAGCATGTCTCATTATTAATATCCGCCTAATCTTAGGTTTCTAAGACCAAAATTATCCTTGACAATATAAAGATAATATGTTTTAAACGAGTATTTTAGTCTCAGAAACCTACGATAAATCTTGCAAACATAATGTAGAATTCTATAAAAGGGGGCTAATATTAATAATATAAAATAAGAGAAGCAAATCTATACTAATATAATAAAGAGGAAACATTTGTTTGTTTTGTATTGAATAGACTCAAAAACTATTAAACTGATTTGAAGAATTCTTTATCTGTTGTGAAGCAACACTATCTCCAATTGACATAGACTTTATTTATTACTAGATTTTTTTTAGTTCAACGCAGATGTCGCGGGCAATTATTAGTTTACTTATAGGCTTTGGTCTGGAACGAAGTATTTTTTTTTATTTTCTGATATTCGCATGTTTATATTTTAGACTACTTTTTGCTATTTAATAATAAACTACGTATTTAGTGGGCGCTTTAATTTTTTCTTTGTTATATTCATAATATTTATGTAACATTAGTTAAGATATTCGAAGCATTTTGGTAATTAAAATGAGTTTTTTGCAATGATATATTTACCAATTATGCCGTCAAAAGTTGATTGTGTAGTTATGAAATAAAGTTACGACTTTATAGTGATTAAATTGTTTTATTTATTAAAATCTTACCTTTTGTTTTCTGGCGATGATTTTGACGAAATTTTCTTGAATAAAAACAACAAATAGAATCGCAACTGTTTATTCTCGTTTCGAGACAATATTTTCTCTCAATCTTTTTAATCACAATTATTGGTGTTCACAATATAACTTCACAAAATAAAACAACGTGGCGTGCAATATGTCACATTAATAAATAACTTCGCCTAAAATTCGAAACAATAATAATTTTTTTACATTTTAAAATTTCGATTCATTTTCACGGATACCGCCAAACTGTTGCGAAACGACTTGACAGTTTGGTTTTTTTTACAATCCACTTGAGGCAAAAGTCAAAGCCATAGACAACTTTTTGGCTTCAAACAATCCATCGACTCGTTTTTCTACACTATGCTCACCAAACACTTCTCATACATCTTATTTTTTTCTAAAACAAAAAAAACTACCACGATTGAACTTGCCACAAATCTTTGTACCAGCAATTACGACAGTATCCATCCATCTCTGTCGCACATATGGCTTTATATATATATGTCTCGCTCACTCATAGCTAATTTCGAACTCGGATTTATGGCAAGTCCCACACAACATTCACAAGTGTGGCGTTAAAGCCGAAATGCAACTTTGACTGTTTCATACGTACATTTATATTTAAAAATTTACACACGCACACACACATGCTAAGACGAATATTTTTTTTACAGTTTTTCCAATGATTCGATTCGTGTTATGCTATTGAAAAAATACCTGAGATCACATTTTTTTACGGTTTTTTTTACAATATTATATATTTTTTTTTGTCATTTATTAGCATTTACACCTACATTAATAATAAGTATCAAATATTAAGAATAATTATAAAATAAAATGATATTAATTTTAATTTTTTTTTTAAATTTTTTTTTCTATCCCAAATTATACAAACCCTTGATCTGAGTTAGTCATTTGAAAAAAAAAATACACATTCTATTAATAAACTAACTAATGTACTTTAAAAAAAAATCGGTGGCAATTTTCTTATTAACCCCCGTGTTCTTTTAAATACTTATTCACTATTTATATGGAATATTTTACGCCACTTATAAAAAAAAAATAAACACAGAGACAAAACCGTTTTCAAAATGGAGGGGATTTTTTTTTATTTTTTGACATTTCAAAAAATAGGAAACTATTAAAGCTATTTAATGATAAACTTGATAAACATCTTTAGATCGATCGAGCATTTCACAAATAAGCCAATATTACGAGGTAGGCAGAGATAGATAAAAAAATATTGTCGTCAAAAAATTTACGATGTTCAGATTTACATTTTTTTTTAATTAGATAACAATCCAAAATAGACTAATAGAAAAAAATGCTATAAAATATCCTCGTAAATAGGCAATCTATGACAATCTCAACAGACCTATAAACATTCATATATATATTTAAAAATTATTTAATCCCCGTTCCTCACTCTTTATGTACAATTTTCAAACTTATCCTTTCCAATGATGAAATGTTTAAAAAAAAATTCAAACTACCTACATTTTTTTTAATATTTGGATTTTATGATTGGACACTTAGATTTACCTTTATAACCAATTTTCGTTAAAAAAAAACAAGTTTCTTTATAAAACTGACATATGTTGGTTAAATACCCTCAATATATGGCCTATGTTTCTCCGTCCAAATATGATGTTGGGACCTTCAAAAGTAAAGGCACTTACTAAGCTAGCGCGTACCATCTTCCAACCAAATCTCCACTAATTCTAGGTAGGATCGTAGTCAAGCGCTAGCTTATAAAACGTAAAAGAAAATAGTAATTTTTGACAGAGAAAAATCATTCTGAATCTTAAATGCAATAATCAATACCAAGTCTCTGTTTATTTTAAGTTTTATATTAAAATTGTCCAATCACAAGATTTTTAGTTATATTTGAAATACCGTAACGTACATACAAAACATATTTTTGTATATATCGGCAGTAAGGCAAGCGACACAACGGATCACGGAATTTTGACTTTATTCAAAAGTGGGATCCAAAAAACACAAGATATTCAACTTTATCTCAGACCTATTAAACTGGACAGGCTATAAGTCGTTGTATTTTGTGCCAATTTGACGCTGTTAGTATTAGAAACTCGATTTTAAAAATGGAATTAGTAGACAATAACTTCATTTGGCTTCAAATTGGAACAAATTAAAAGCTGTAATTTCCAAACAGTTGTCATGTCCAGTTGTTATATATTTATAATATAGTACAGGTAAATTTTACTAGCTGCCTTTAATTTTGTTTAAAAAAAGGACTAAATTTAGGATATCTCCATATTATTCGTCTAGTTTTGTATATTTTAATATGGTTTAATAGAAAATATACTAAAAACATAGGATTTCTAATATCGTAAGGTTAGTTTTTGTGAGGTCGTTGTCAATACATTTATATTTTTCAACTATAAATTGGGGGTCCAAGAACGAATAACCTTGTGATATTTAGGGGTCGGATTAGGGGGTCGTTGTTAACTTTAACGACATAATTCTTACTGGATCTTGAAGTCTTGGGGTCTCTTGAGTCTTATGGGTTTGTTGTTAACCTTGAACTATACTTAATTCTCGTTGGATCTTGAATTCTGGGGTCGTTGTTTTTACATTTGAATTTTTTCAATTGATCGTGTTGGATTTTGAAGTCTGGGGGGTCTTCATTACTGTCTAGACACGAGGTGTTTTGGGGGTCTGTGTTGGCAGGTGATGTCAACGTCAGTTGCTGCAGTACACCGGTAGTACAGGGCTCCTCGGCCAATCAGATGTCTCCTCGCTTTCGCTACTTTCGCTGCCCGTTCTATAAAAAATTACAATAATAAGACTATGATAGTTAAAAACAGAAAAAACCTAATATAAGGTCAGAAATACTGATAATCTTACTAATATTATAAATGCGAATGTTTAGATGTATGTATGTTAGAAGATATCTTTAGAACGGCTGCTTGGATCTTGATGAAATTTGTCATACATGTAGAACATAGTCTACATGACTTTTTTCGGACGAAGTCGCAGTTAATTTTTTTATAAATTGAGATATAGACATAGCCTGATCTATATATATAAAAATGAATTGCTGTTCGTTAGTCTCGCTAAAACTCGAGAACAGCTAAACAGATTTATCTTATCTTGGTCTTGTAATATTCGTGGTGGTCTAGAGAGAGTTCGAGATATAAAAAAAGGTTAATATTTTGAGGTTCTATAACATGTTTTTACTGACCTGTTCCTACTGGGCGTGGTGTCGGTGGCAAGGTGTTGTTCCTCAATGGTCGGCAATAGCGAGGTCAGACGATCCGTCGGCCGCAGTACCTAATCAAAATTATATTATGTAAAAAATCTTATATACTTCTGAATAATGTACGAAATTACTGGTGGAGTAACTAAGGCTATTATTTTAATTCCTTACTGAAGAAATAAACTGCTAGTCTATGTTTCTTATATCATAAATGCGATTGTTTGGATAGATGGATATTTACTTGAAGATATCTCCAGAACGACTGAACGGATCTTGATGAAATTTGTCATACATATAGAACATAGTCTGGAAGAAGACATACACTACTCAAGTTGTTTTTTGTTTACAGCTAGTACAATTATAAAGAAGAAAGATTTGTTTGTATTAGTTAAGCTTCAAAACTACTGAACAGATTTAAAAAATACTTTCACTGTTGAGAAGCTATACTATCTCCAAGTGACATAGACTATATTTATGACTAGACTAGATATCCCCCCCGCGAAACTGTCCGCGTGGAATAAAAAATCTTCATAAGTAGTCTATGTGTTCTCCCAGACTATGTTCTACATCTATGACAAATTTCATCAAGATCCATGCACCGGTTCTGGAGATTCATACTAACAAACATCCATCAAACATTCGCATTTATAATATTAGTTATAATAATTTGACGCAAGCGCACTTTAGTAACAAAGTGTTGTATCAGATGTAGTGAGGGAACATAAACATTGATATTTTAATAAGGCTTGTGTTGCGATACACCGGCACTGTGTCGGATTTTCTTCCTAACATTATTAAGTACGATTTTTTATTTGACTATACCTTTAACGTGCGTTCCGATAATCTCCAGACGAGTCTTTGTCGTTGTGGCGCTGCGCAGCGACCTTCATATCTTGATAATACAGTACGGAACAAATCTCGTGTACGTAATAACGAAGTCTCCGACATCTGAAATACATTTAAGAACTTATTAGTTTGTCATGTCTTGATGTTTGTTACAAGTGAAAGGTCAACTTGTCGCTTGCGTGTTACTGATTGAGTAGAAATGTTACATACATCAGCTCTAAGTCCCCACTGAGGGTAGAATCTACCCTAAGTGAGAGTATGTGATAGTGAATGCTGGTCCAGTGCAAGACTTCACACATTTGACTTTCTCAGATATGTGCAGCATCACGATGTTTTCCTTCATCGTACAACATAGGATAAATGTACATTTACATATGTGTAACACATTGCTACATGATGGGATTCGAACTCAAGACCTGCAGATTGCAAGTCAATTGACTAACCACTGAGTCATAGACGCTCGAAATGTTAGATAAATGTGTAAATCACGTGACAATACAATATTATGATGACGCGGAAGTTTCAGTTTGATTATTAAAGGTTTTTTTTATTATAATTTGTAGTGTATGCATCAATGTAGTGTTGTTTGTCCCGAGCGTCAGTCAGTCGATGTTTGACCTTTGGACCGGTAGTACGTGTCTGTACGTGAACGAGTCAAATATAACGCAACGAATGCTACATAATTTATTAGACTTTTTTATATGAATTGGTCCGAGACAGTAAAAGAGTTAATCTTGTTTTATATACTTACGTTACAGTAGGCTTGTAGTTGCGCAGCAAATTCATACAAATAATACAACTCTTCAGACACGTCTTTATGTCTCGCCCATTCTGTTAGTTGTTTCTCTGAAAAAAAAATATATATATATTAAAATAAAGAAAACAAAATATAAAGTGTTATAGATATTTTTTTTTTGTTTTTTTTTTTCTTAACATATATATTATCTTACCTAACTGATGGTATACAATGACCAAAGCCAGCTCGCTCATCCTTGCGTTGGCACATCCAGCATCACATATAGCTATCTCCAATAAGTTGACAAGTTCACTTTCCTGTAATCAAACAAAAAAAAAGTTATTTTTTGTTATTTTGCTGCATAATTTAAAGATTTAATTTTGAGCGTCGGTGTCTCAGTGGTCAAGCACTTGACTTGCAATCTGCAGGTCCTGAGTTCGAATCCCGCCATGTACCAATGTGTTTTTCCATTTCCGATTTACATATGTACATTTATCCGACGTTCTTACTGTGAAGGAAAACATCGTGATGCTGCACATATCTGAGAAGAAATTCAAAGATATGTGTGAAGTCAACCCGCACTTGGCCAGCGTGGTTGACTATGACCTAGTCACCCTAACTTAGAGTAGGCTCCGAGCCCCTCGGTGGGTACATATAGTGAGCTGATGATGATGATAATGAGGATAATTTAAAACATACATCTCCACTGTGGGTCTCGAAGCCTACACTAAGTTAGTATTATAATTTTACATTTATATTAAATTACATTAATTTATTTTAATAATAAGGTGACAAAAAAGCAAGCGGAGACATTAATTCGCCAAAATAGCGAAACAATACTACCCATAGACACATTGCCTACTTTTAATCAACAGAGAAACGCACAGAAAGAGAATTATACCAATACCTTATTATCCCCTACCCATCTAGATGGCAGGGTAGGGGATCTAAGTATGAGTTAGACATACCTGTGGCGCGGGTGCAGCAGCCAGTGATCTGACGAGCCTCAGCCAGTGGAGCGGTGTGACAGCGCGCGCGTTGTTCAACGCCAGCTTGTCAGCCAGCACGCGAGACATGCGCGCCACGTCGCGCCATGTGCACGCCGACTGGGATACTGATACTGAAATGTTCAGTCAACGTAATGTTATGTTCAGTCGATGTAATATAATGTTCAGTCAACATAATATCTAGTCAATGCAACGTTCAGTGGAGGTAACGTTATGTTCAGTCGAGGTATTGGTAATGTTCAGTCTTGGTAATTTAAGTGATGACATTCAGTCATAGTAATATTTATTTACATCACACTACAAAATACAAAAGTGTTTTTTACATGTTCCAATATTGCTATACTTGTCACACTGAACAGAATGATATGTGGAATTATTAATAATTTATTTGGTCTATTACTTGAGCATAATTTGTAATACAACAAATATCTTAAAATAGTGACATTTTTAATTTTTAGACCCTAATATATACAGATTCTACAAACATAACCATGTTTTTACTAAAACTACACATAAATACATGAGTTCTAGATAACAGGTCAAGGTAATATCATGTTCAGTCAAGGTAATTTTATGTTCAGTCGCGGTAATAAGTATCTTACACACATAAGACATTGCTAATGATGTTCAGTCTTGGTAATATATTATATAGATTGTCAATAAAGATGTTCAGTAGGGGTAACACTCACCCAACTCCTCAATAGAGACAGTCCTAGCTTGCTTTGTTAGCTCTGCATGTTCGTCCAACGCCACATTCATACAAGACACGGTGATACAAGGCACATGACATGGACGAACCTTCATCTTGGTTAGGAATCTGTAATAAATATCATCAGGTCACTGTATGTCCCCACTGAGGGTCTCGAAGCCTACCCTAAGTTAGTGACTAGGTCATTGTGAATATTAACCCAGTGCGGGATAGCCTATGTGTTCTTGCAGACTATGTTCTACATCTATGACATATTACAACGAGATTCATGCAGCTGTTCTGGAGATACCTTCTAACAAACATCCATCTAAGCTTTCGCATTTATTATAATGGTAAGATGAGAAAGTCAAGATGGATGGATGCTTTTAGAAGATATCTCCAGAATGGCTGCATGAATCTGTATTGAGTTTGTCATAGATGTAGAACATAGTCTGTAACAATACATAGACTACTATTATAAGTTTTGCTTTGATAACGAGAAAAACTGTGTGGCGTGCCTCCACGCATTTATTGTTTTAAATTATTATACTTATGTTATTAGTTATAGTTAGTATTAAATAGTAGAACTTAATTATTTAAATATAGTATTGTATAAATAAAATATATATTGTTTGTATAATAAGTAGATATATTAATAGTAATTTGTACGTTGAGGCGGACAAGCGAACGCGTTTTATATATTCGTAATTTCGCGCGTAGCAACGACGCGACGAGAGAACCGGTCGTCGCTGGCGCATCGAGCCAGTCGGCCGGCCGCCGCTGTCCCAGTCGAAAAAAATCTCTCGACACGATCGCATGTCCGTCGCGCGCGCGCATTTCGCTTGCAGCTCGTACCTATGCCATTTCTTTTGTATCGCCTTTCCTTCTTCAATACACCTTCTACTTCTTGCAGTGCTTTCT